AAAGCTTCTAATGTGAGCTGACCTGACGACACTTTGAGGAGATAGTAGCTTGCATCGGCGGTGCCTGAAGTAATCGGACTTGCAGCTCACATTTAGTATGATGCTGGGGAGGATGTGATCCCACCACACATCACTTGCTGCATCCCAGGCACTAATTATCACGGTGATGGGACACTCGCCCTCTTCAACTGCCGTTCCACAGCGGAAAACATTCACCGTCTGCCACTCTAAATCAGCGATCATGCGTAGCACTCGTTGCTCGTGAATTTCTTCCCACTCCTGTACTATCGGGTCATCTGGACAGATGCAGTGCAGCGGTGCGTTGGCTTGATCGTCGTCGATAAACTCTACCCGATACCGCCATCCTCTATTGTGGAATTGGAGACGAAGCTCCTCAAGGGCCGCGACCGAGAAGTTTTCCAAGCCCGTGCAATGAATGACCAAGGTAATATCTTCATGATCCGGGTGTTGCCCATCATTGAAACGCCTACATCGGGACCAAAACTGAAATTCAACCCCATGGAGTTTGAGAAAGCCCTTTATTTCCTCCTTATTGGGTAGAAGGTCTGGTAGCTCACGAGGAGATACAGCTTTAGAACTGAGAGGCAGGATTGGCAGAGGTTTGGGCCATCCTTTTCGATACGGTAGGCGAGTATCAATCTCACCCTGTGTGCTGTCCATTTTCGTCCGATATTGGTCGTCCGGATGTCGTCTAGATGCTCTTCTCGCAAATGATAGGGGAGACTCGGTTTGACGCCACTTTCGAGGCTGGTGTTTCCCCATTTATGATATCGCGATGCTTTGTTGCAATTCGTCATTGTGGGCTGCCCTTCATGGCTGGTTTCGGAACTACGAGTTGTGTCGATAAACGATCTCTTGTTCTCGTCCGCTCGCTTGACCGGCCGTCGATGAATTCTCCGTCTGGTAAAACCAAGTGGGAGATATTTCGCAGGAGGTTGATCCGGTTATAAATTGAGTACGCGTCTGCTCTAACATATGATACTGCTGGAATATTCTGCCTACTGATTCATTGAGTTGAATGCCACATCCAACTCACAAAATCAACTTTTTGGTAGGGAAGCAGTGGAAAATAGGCTCACTAGATGGGGTAGCAAACTAAAAGACATGACTATTCTCCGCTAGCCAGGGAATCTTCACTCTGTTAGTCTAGTGAAATAATTCAACAGGCAAGGTATTTTCTCTTCGCATGTGCCGGAGCACATCCACAAGGATAATGATGCATATTGTGGCATAGCCTTTCACATCACAAAGCTCATAAATATTGGGGATGAATGCCAGATGTAAGCATTGTCAGGGCATTAAAGGAAAAGAAGTGGATGCGCATGCTCCTTGTCGCCAGGTTTTGTGTCAGTTTGGTCTCTAACATGGTGACTAGAAAGGACTGATGAAGGAACACTTCACTGGATATGTAGTTATGGTATAGACATCCAAAGATGCAAATATTTCTCCAGCAACGATTGATCGTAGACAAGTCGGGATCAGTTTGATATCGTTGGTCTGCTGAGGGTCCGCAGCAAGGTCACATGATCGCTCTTTTTTTTTAAGTCAACTCTCTGGATGCAACCAGCTCTTCTCAGAGCTACTGTTATCAATTCAAGAATATCGCCGACCACTCCAGCAACACCGCCCAACCTTGCCTGATTTAGATTGTGCATTGTGTTGTTGTTTGGCTCCCTCTTTATTTCCAGCAAAATGTTCCTCCTCAGATCTCTCTCTCGTTCACTCCCCCGAACCGTCTCTAGATCTGTTTCAAGACCGCTCCGAACCCCCCTTCTAAAGCCTGCCTTTTTCCAACCAGCATTCGCCTCTCGTCCCGCATACGCCGCATTTTCTACCACCAGACCGCGATGGGAATCAGCTGGTCAAGGTATGTAACGGCGCCAATTTGGAGAATTTCCTGCTGCAATGGGCGACGCTGATCTGGTTTTGCACGCATGTAGTCGATGTTGAATTGGCAGCTAAATTCCAGGATGAGCTTGCTTTGGAGACGGAGAGCGGCGAAGTGGATAAACTTCCAGAGTCGCTCAAATATTTCTTGGAGAATGGGCCATTTGAGGTATTGACTACCCGTACGTTGTTGATTGGTATCTTGCTGATGGTTTCTAGGTCAAAGATACTCCCGGAGAAGAAGAAGTCGTTTTGACCCGAAAATTTGGAGACGAGAAGTAGGTGCTATTCCGCACTAAAGCGTTGAGGCTCATTGAGCCGTGCTAATCACGCGCAGGATCCGAGTTTCCTTTTCAATTGCCGACCTCCAGAATCTCGGCGCGGAAAACGAATACGACAACGCACTTCCTGATGAACTCGAAGAGGTTGAACCACAATCCCGTGCTATCAACGAAAGAGGTGCCAAGGCCGAGAATATCAAAGCTGTCCCGGAAGACCGAGTGGCTCCATCTGACCGCGAGGATGATCTTGGACTGGAAGAAGAGACGCCCGAGCCCGCATATCCTGTCCACCTTAACGTAACCGTCGAGAAGCCTGGCAACGGTTGCATGTACGCTGAATGCCTGGTGGAAGATGGCGTGGTGCAAATTTTGGAGCTTCAATATTTTGAAAAGGCAGATATTGCTAATGCTCAGACCGCCGACAAGCAGTGGGCGAGAAGCTCAGTCTACGCTGGCCCGCCATTCGGAAATTTGGATGAGGACTTGCAGATTCTTTTGGAACGCTATCTGGAAGAGCGAGGCATCGATGCCACACTTGCCTCATTCGTTCCTGACTACATCGACTTCAAGGAGCAGAGAGAATATGTTCGCTGGCTCGGAAGTAAGTTGACTAGTCTTTTGTTTCCGTCCTGTCACACACCCCACCAATTTGCTAACAAGTATACTTTGTCACAGACTTGAAGAAATTCGTCGAGGTATAAATCGCAGCATTTCTCGTTCGGACCCGAATCGACAACCAATATCAAGCCCTATCATCACGATGCCCTGTAGTTTTATCCTTTTTGTTTTGGCCCGACCCAGAAGGGAATTCATTCAGGTACAAAAAATATGTCACTCACAATAATCATGTGGCTACGTTTGGAGGGTAAGGAGTTCAGTGTTGTGGTTATGCTCAGCAGACAATCCTTCTTTTCCTCTTTGCTATATGTAACTCTAGTTGATTGTATGTAATATATTCATGAACCATTGATCGTTGTATATTTTGCAATATTATCTCTCTGTCATCCAACGAGACCGGTATGAAGAATACAGAAAAGCGAATATTTCTGCGGGAGCTGCATTCATATTCAGTTATTCACATGATGTCCTCGTTAGATATGCATCAGACCGTTAGTATTAAACGGCTATCCTTTCTATACCCGTCCAAAGGGCATACCCAATACTCCTAGGAAGCTTTCCCATCCTTCCCATCCTACTAAATGATATGCCTAGGACCAAAGAAATCCGAAAACCCAGAAATTCAAAACTCCATTTCATCATGATGACCATCTTCATCTCTCTCCCTTTTACCCGCCCGCTCATCTCGATTCAAGTTTGCAACAAACGCCCTAAAATGGTCAATATACGGCTTCAGGCTGGTTTTCTCGTAATCCTGGAGAGTATTCCTCTTTGTATCCCGATCTGAGCCGGGACCATGGTCCCCTTTATGTTTCAAGTCCCATGCGTTGATTTCATCTAGCAGCTCCGTAACCGTGGGTACCTCGAGCGGATTGAATTGCTCGACTTTGCGTATATCGATGGGAACACACACGCGTCCCGTGCCCGGATGCACGACAAAAGGCGATTTGAGCAAGTGTATCATCTTCTTACTCACTTCCGCGTCGAGTCGGGGGTATGTGTACTCCAACACGATGTCTTGCTTTGCTTCGAGGAGCGCTTTGGTGTCCAGGCTCCGGCCGCCGGAGGTTTTGGCCACCTTGTCGATGTCGGACCACTTTAACGAGCTGGCGCGTGAAGGGGCTGATTCCCATTTCTTTTGGAGGGAGTCCTTGAGGGATTTGTCGGGGATGAGTTGGAGGAGGCGGGAAGCTTGGTCCCAGGAGGAAAACGTGTCCTGGTCATTGAGGACTGTGGAGCCGAAATACGGACGGAGGACTTCCAGGCTGCGAGTGATATGTGGATGGAGAGGCCGTTTTACATTCACGCGTTTTCCGCTCTGCGCGCCCCCGCGCACTACTTCGAGGTACCCAGCGATCGCTCTCCTTCGGTCATCGGCGAGATTCCGGGCGCGCTGGTCGCATACCCATGCGTGGGCACCTCGACGGCCAGAATAGACCCAGAGGATGTGTTCAAAGCCAAAATCATCTCGCAAGGCACAGTCGATCACCTTGACCGCCATGGTCACAAACGCCCAACATTTCGAGCAGATATTTGCTTTTTCACAACACGTTCGAATATCATCATAGTCTGTTAAATCGATATCAAACACTAGCTCCTTGGAGACGGGTCTGAAAGCGCTCGATTTTCGGAGAGTTTTGCGGTCTCGTGGGTTTGTGCTGTATACTGGGCCGATTTCAAAGCGGGAGGGATTGAGGCGGAGAATATCATTGCGCAGTCTATCCCGCAGCCCAATTAGTTCTCCAAACAGAGCCGAAGTGGTTGAAAGACGGGTTTTTGCAACACTTGCCCTTCTGCTGTTGGAAATGATTGGTAGCGTAGATATGCGTCGTTTTGAAGTGTAAACGCGAATTCTCGATTCCCAAAGTCGACGGACGGTTTGACCCCATGGTTTAACCACTGAAATAGGTATTTGAATGGGAACAAACGCTGATAGAATGCATACATGGTCTCTGAGTCGATTTTCGCTGGAGGGGGTCCCGGCTGCCTACACTCGCGCGGTGTTATCATTCACTCGATTCTTCCTACACACGCGAAGGATCACGGGCGAGGACATACTCTGCAGGTTCAGCTTCAGAGCCTTGCGCTCCCGGCTCTGAGGCACTGGAAAATGGATAGTCGTCGTCATCGTCATCGTCAAACAAATCCTCTAGTTTCGCGGTGCTCGTTTCCTGGGGTGCAGCGCTGCCTTCTGAATGCTCATCCTGCGCATCGTGTTTGGGAGGCTGTTCCTCCTGGACGGCGGGGGGTGCGTCCGGGAGCACTTCGTCGTCAGGCATTGATGAGCGAGAAGAGGATGGAGTTGATGAATTTTGAATCTTTCGCATTCATCAAGTGGAAGTCATTAACTGGTTAATGAAGAACGCGACTCGACGCGACGCGCTGTAGTTAATGGCTGAGCGGCGTTTTAGCCTCACACCGCCATATGCGCCTAATCAGCAGCCTAGAACAATGCTGAATCGGAGATTTTGCTCAACAGCTACAGAGTACAGACTGATACAGCTACTGTCTATAAGTAGCTATTTAAAGGATCACTAGATCTAGAAATCCATAGATATTCGTTCTGGATGGGTATCAGAGCCCTGGCCCAGTTCTCATAGATAACGAGTTGACTACTCCGTACAAGAATTGATCGTCCAACACATCCATGAAGTGCCTGAAGATGGTCAACAAGCCCTCTTCTTAGTTGCATTTGATCAAAGCTCAGTTAAAAATGGACGTCCGTGTTCACGGTGAAGTTCTTCTTTGTGCTTCTCCAAGACCCACGCCCTACTACAATTTGCCTCCAGAGATTTTTAGACCCGGAATACCCGATCACAGTGGAGCTTGTCTGTCTGCGCCAGATCTTTTCTTCAAGAACCGCGCTTGATCTCGTCATGTCCAGTGCCAGCGTGAAAGAAGCAACTCGTTGGTCTCCAGCATGTCTCGTACATCTACGGAGCTCCAGCATCCGGCATTGACTCACCCGGCGAGCTCGACATCTCCCTCGACAAAGCTAGGAATCCAACTCGTCCCCCTGCCTGAACATGTCACCAACGACTCCGATAATGTCTCGCGGGAGAATTTAACTGGAGAACCGCTCAGCAATGCAGCGGGACCAAGCCCGGTTTCGGCACTCAAGGCAGGCGTGATCATTGCTACAGCCGCAAGCATGACACTGATGAATTCGTTGCTCACCGGTATATTGACTGTCGGGCTACCTGTGATCGCAAAGGACATCGGGTTGGCGGAGAACCTGCTGCTCTGGTAAGCCCCAGTGGTTTATGCTCACTGCTCTCGGCTGGGAATGGATAATTAATATGCACTTCCCAGGCCGGCATCTGTCTATGGCCTCGCATGCGGCTGCACACTCCTTCTCTCGGGCTCCGTGGGAGATGTGATTGGAAGCCGGCCGCTCTACCTCGCCGGGTGCGGTCTGCTCTCCGCGTTTACACTGGGCTGTGGTCTCGCCACAACGGGCATACAGCTCATCGTCTTCCGGGCAATCTCAGGCGTTGCGCTCTCTTTCAGCCTGCCCAGCGCCGTGAGTATCATCACCACCACCTTTCAGCCTGGAAAACGGAGAAACATCGCCTTTGCATGCCTTGGTGCTGCGCAGCCCGTGGGATTCTCCCTTGGCATCGTCTTGGGAGGTGTGCTGATTGCCGGAATCGGGTGGAGGTATGGCTACTACATCGTTGCGGCGCTGAATGTTTGCATTCTGCTAGTTGCAGTCTGGCAGATTCCCAAGGACCCAAGGATGGTTGAACCGGTTACCTGGAGACGACTGTACAATGAAATTGACTGGATGGGAACAGCACTCATCAGCTCTTCTCTCGGGATATTCTCCTACACTCTATCGTATGTCCCCGGTCTTCTCCTGAACCTTTTGCGGAAGACCACTATTAACATGCTTTGCTAGAACGATGACCGTCTCCATCCATGAGCTGACCAAGCCCGTCAACCTCGCCCTGCTCATCCTCTCATTGATCATCTTTGCAGCGTTCATCTTCTGGATCCTCCGTCAAGAAAGACTCGGCCGCGTCGCCATGGTGCCCCCCTCCCTCTTCAAGGCGGACGCAACCTCCGCTCCCCGCCGCGCACGCAACTTCACCGCCATCTGCATCTCCGTCTTCCTCACCTGGGCCGTCTTCAACGCTTTCCAGTACTTCACTTCCCTCTACTTCCAACGCATCCAGAACCTCTCCGCCCTCCAGGCCTCTGTCCGATTCATCCCCATGGTCATTTCCGGTGCCCTGATAAACATCGCCACCGGTCTTTTAGTCCCCCGCATCAAAGCCAACGTCCTCTGCCTCGCTGCAGCGATTGTATCCGCCATCGCACCCTTGCTCATGGCCGTCGCGCGACCAGAGTGGAGCTACTGGACCGCCCCGTTTTTTTCGGTGGGACTCATCCCCGTGTCGGCGGATACGCTGTTTACCGTGTCGAATCTCGTGATTACCTCGACCTTCCCTCCAAGAATGCATGGTTTGGCGGGCGGAGTGTTCAACACCATTTCTCAAATTGGCATGTCTGTCGGCCTGGCGGTTACCGCTGTCGTTGCGAATGCGGTGACAGGCGCGGCAGGAAGTAGCAATGGGGTTGGTAGGGATGCGGGAGCCGTAGATGCAGTGTTGAAGGGCTATAAAGCTGCGTACTGGATGAGTTTTGCTGCGTCGGCAGTGATTGTCGCATTGAGCTGGTGGGGATTAAGGGGCATAGGGCGGATTGGATTGAAAGAGGACTGAAAGCCACTGCTTTATCTCCGTCAAGTCAGGTGTTTGGGGAAGAGAAAAGTCATGGCTTTAATATGGACCGGAGATACTCCACTACATCTATAAATAGAATTTCTAGTTTATATGTAGTTACCAGGGGATCATTCCTTCCCCTCAAATAGTATCTAGAGAATAGATCATACACATATCTAGGAGCTTGCGTTAACATCATGATATCATAAACCTCACACATGATCACACAGAGTAATGAAAAAATATTGTTATTCTCTTCAATGAGCCGGAACTGGTTGGGTCTGGCTCTGCGGTTGACCTTGCAAAAGGCCCTGCGGTGTTTCCGCTATTTGATTATTGCTGGCCTGTTCCTCTCTAATCTTCTGCAGGAGGGCTGGGTACTATCGGGACTTATCAGTATGGTTGTTGCTTTTAGTGCTGGACATGCAAGAATAACTCACCCATCTTTCTCCTACGTCTGGGTGGCTTTTGATCCTATTCATCAATGTTGCTTCCCCCAAATGCCCCCACTTGCCTTTGGAGGAATGTAAACTCGATATCATCTGGACGGGATCCCATTCCTCCTTAATGACTTCTTCTCAGAGTGCTCTGACGTGCTCAGGCACCTCCATGCTTTCAAAAGTGGCATCGTAGCTGACACCCTGGAAGAAAGGGACGCTGTACCGCGCACCGGAACCCCGTGCCGGAGAGAGTACACGATGTGTTGTGCTGCTGCTTCGTTAGTAAGTGAGGCGAGTTGGATCAAGCGCAACTTTCGCACCTCTGGCAAACGCCCTGTGTCATAGCCTCCAGTCCCTGCCCAATCGCCACCACCAGCGTTCCATCAATCGGTGGGCAGTCGATCCACTCCCCGCGATGATTCTGGACCTGCAGTCCCCGATGATGACTCGCCTGCAGCAAATAACTCGTGAGCATACTATCCTTGTGTGGACCCACGCCCTGTTGCTCGACATCGCCGTTCACGCCCAGTTCCTGGAGGTCTGGGTACTTGACAATCTTAAGCTTGTGTTGCTGATCGGCGTCGAAGAATCGGTCGAATGCATCTGGAGAGAGCCCGATGGCTTCGGCGACGAGGGAGATGAATTCCATGCTGATGGCGCCCATCTTCTTCATGTACTCCTCGTAGACAGGGCGGAAGTTGGGGATGAGATGCGAGTCGGGCCATTGGTTGGGTGAGAGGAGGTTGTGATAGAGAGGGTCTGAAGGGGAGGGAAGCGGGTGATTCGTGGAAAGATCGATTTGCTCGCGCCAATCAGTCTTGAAGCGGGTGATTTCGTTGCCGAGTTTGCTGTATCCTAAATCATAGAGAGTGAATGTATGTGGTTAAAAGGCTGATAACTATAGGGAGTAGGGGCCCCTGTCAGGGTCCCGGGATGCAGTCAACTAGATGCCAGGATATCGGCATACCGAGAAAGCTGGGAGCGTTTTTCATCTCGACCTCCAGCTTCTTTTCAGGAGGCAGATCGAAGAACTTTTTTCCCTCAACAATGACATCTCGTACGAGCTTGTCGCTGATGCCGGCGTTTTTGATGTAGAGGAACCCAACTTCAAGCAAAGCATGGCGAAGATCAAGGAGGAAAGCGGGCTTCGTGGCGGCGTCCCGGGCCAGCGAGAGGTCCAGGACCGGAATGGAGTCGAAGGACATCACTGCAGACAGAGAGTTGCACGATCCGGGGGGGGTGGCTGTAGGGATTCAGTTGCATTCGAATCTGCTCGTCGAGCCGAGATGGTTGTCCGCGATGGCCTTTGCATGCGGGGAGAATTCGGGAAACACAGTGAACTAGTTATGAGCCGTTGCGGGGTCAACACGCCAAGGTGCATGCAAATCGCAACTTCAATATAACGCCTTTGGATGAAGGCATGCTCGAGGCGGGAGGCATATCTACTTTGCCTGGGGAGGTTCACTGACTATATCTATCCGCGATGGCCCTCGACAGCAGACCTCGTTCTTCAAAAGATGCCCGTGAGAGCAACTGCGCAGTGGTGGGTGTAGACATCCTCACAAGGACGCTCCTTTCGCATCTGCCAGCCCATCGATATGGGCATCAAGCGACTAAAGCAAGTCTGACTGTCACTGAGGGAAGCCAGCAACCAAGCTGTGCACATCGGACCGGGCCTGATGAAGCTGCAGGATGCTGAACCTGTGCATCCACGGCTAGTTATCTCGCCAGCTGCTTTTCCTAATTCCAAATGTGGCGGCCACAGGCTATTCGCATGGCAAACGCCTGCCGCAGGCGCTTCTTTAATACCAGGCCACATAGACGATCCCTAATTACGACCCTGGTGATATCTTCCATTTGCATACTTTTCTATCTTTGGCAGTCGGCATGGAAATATCCGTCACGCTCCAGGGCTCCCAATGGTGATGCACAGCTTGGAAGTCCTGGATTTGCTAAACCAAAAGACATGCCTATTATTGGCATGGTCTTTTTTGGGCGTCGCGATCGAGTCAAGACTTTGCATTGCTATCTGGAGGTATTCCGCTCTCTTCCGCAAATGGTCGTCGATACCGCTGACAGCTAGAATAGCGTAATCTCGTGGATAACGGCGGATGGCTCGACGAGATTGAATTCATCGCCAACACGGACATCAAGCAGGATTTGGAGTTTCTCGACGAGATCATAAAACGCTCTCCACGGTACAAGAAGGTGCTCCTTGAGAACCCTGTCTCGGGGCCGGAACAAACCAAACTTTGGAGAAACGTCAAGAGGGGGACGATGTATATCAAGCTAGACGATGACATTGTAAGTACCCACGGATCTTACGGTTATAGCCTCCACTGGGGACTAATAGAGGTAGATGTGGTTGGCCGATGATGCGATTCCCCGAATCGTTACCACGAAGTTGAGGAATCCCGACGCTCTCGCTGTCTCCGCAAACGTTATCAATGACCCTCCACTGAGCTTTCTACACTATCACCATGACGCCTTGCATCCATATTTTCCTGAGATCCCGTCATCGCCAAAGGGCCGCCGAAAAAAAGCACCGGACATCTCTGATAACGGATTCATGAGGCGCTCGCTTCCCCCCTGGCGCCCATCCAAGCATCCGTTTTGGCAGGGTCCTGCTGATTTTCAATGGTCACTCGAAGACCAACCGCCAAACGACGGCCATCGCTGGCTGCGCGTTCAAGACGACAAGGCTCTGAATCGTACGCCAGTTGCTAAATTAACATACGACTTTTGGGGGCCGACCTATGATAGCTGGGCTATTGCTGCGCAGCAGCATTACTCGTTGCTAGAGAACATCGAAAAGCATACTGTTGACAAGTATAAATTCTCTCCTCCGTGGAACATGCATGGAGAGCGAATCAGGATCAACGCTCTCGCAGTATTAGGCGATGATGTGCTGGACACAGACGTGCACAACTGGTCTAGTGATCGCAGCGACGAAGACATGCTCACATTGGATTTACCCAAACAGCTTGGAAGAAGTAAGTCGAGCCGTCCCCTTTCACTTTCAACCCATTGAATCCTCGCTGATATCTACGGGAAAGATGTCCTAATTGAAGGCAATGCCCTCGTGTCACATTTCAATTTCAAGCATCAAGACGCTCTTTCGAAAACGGATCTTCTCGATAGATATTATTCGTATGCATCAGAAAATATTTGTGTCCAGCCGTTCCTATCGCCTGTAGAATAACAGGGATTTGGTGCTGTCCAGACTTTGTGTTGGGAATATATGCCTTGTGGCTGCGGCGATTTAATAATTCAACGTATGATGCGAAAGAAGTTGGTTGCCGATGAATGATTGCCTGCCTTTTTCTCAACTCTTGCTTGTTTTGTTGGTATTGTTAACCCGTTCCGTGAACTAATAATTATCCTTAACAAACTTCCCCGAAAGAAGCTACGACTTTTGACTTGGGAATGATATGTCTATCATTTAGCTTTGTTAGTTTTAGATCGACTACCGTTGAAGGTGTTTTCAAGAACGTTCTCTGCAAAATCTCCAAGTCTATACACAATCGAAGTCTATTTGGTGCAAAAAAGCAATGGTATCATTGTTTGTGTTCCATACAGCACCCCGAAACTCGCTCCCAGTCCATCTAAAGCATCAAAGAGGACAAGGACCTCGTGTCATCTCGCCCAGCGAGCCACAGGCTCATTCTGCCATATCCAAATTCACCTGATCCTCCAGCAATCACCACCAGTCATTCTACGCCATTTTTCCCTCTCCCTCGCGATTCACGGGAGTGCTGTCGCCGCTGCTGTTTTCAAAGCTTTCCAGTCCAGCGCCATCATGCTTTTCAAATTCGCCGTATGACCCAAATCCAGATCCGGGTCCGTTTCCGGTGACGTTATTCGAATCATTTCTCGCCAAACCGTATTGCAACATCATTTCTCGAATCTCTTGCTCATTCAAGTGCGGCAACTGCTTCGCCGCACTAACGTAGCTTATATTCTCTGAGAAACCTTTGGCGAAAATAAAATCAATCTCCTCAAGGCTGCGCCGAGCCGTCTCGGGGAAGAAGAAGTAGATGATCGGCACAAAGCATGCGTTAGCGACAGCGAAGAAAAGGTATGTTCCCCAGCCGATACCGTCAAGCATGACAGGAGTCACCATGACAATGGCAAAGTTGAACAGCCAATTGGAGCAAGTCGACAAGGCGTTGGCCTTAGCTCGCGTCTTGATGGGTGAGATCTCGGCAGGATAAAGCCAGGGCAATGGAAGCCACGTGGCACCGAAAAATGCGATATACGTAAAGAGACCGACAGCGGCTCCTCTGGCAGTAGCCGGGGTATCAGGTATCAGGCAGGCAAATGTGATGACCATGGAGAGGCATTGGCCAGCGGCACCAATTAAGAAGAGCTTTCGGCGTCCAACACGCTCAACAAGGAACCATGAGGTGGTGGCGAAAATGGAGTAGACAATCATGTTCACACCGCCAAGGAGCATGGACATGGCATGGGTTTCACCTATCGAATTTTCAAATAGGATAGGGAAGTAATCTGTATGGGATGGTTAGCTGCAATTTTCTCAACTGCTCGCACGGAAGAGTAAACCCACAGATTACGGCGTTACAGCCACCAATTTGCTGCATGATCTGAGACAACACGCCCAAAAGCATTCTGCGGAAATGTTGCGTTTTACCATGGGTGAACACCTCCTTTAGCGGCGCGGGCTTGCCTCCTTGCCCGGACCTATTAGGTTGTTAGCATATCTGTCAAGCGACGAATACGATTCCGAAAACATACGCCTTGATAGAGTCGAGAACGATCGTCTTTTGCAGTTGAACATCATTGTGAGCTATCGGCTTGCCTTGAAGGGCGGCAATAACCGCTTCTCCCTCTTCTGTTCGATCGTGCATGCAAAGCCATCTCGGCGATTCAGGCATGAACCACATTCCAACAATGATGAAAACCCCAAAGACGACTTGGAACGCGATGGGGAACCTCCAAGTCAAGTCATCCGGTCCGTACGAAGCACCAAAATCAATCCAATATGAGATAAGGGTGCCGAACGCAATCGTACCACCTTCAATACAAATTAAGAGCCCTCGATTCGAGGTACGAGAACATTCAGCTTGATAGGTGGGAATTGTGGAAGTGTTCATTCCATTCCCAATCCCCGTAACAACTCGTCCGATAATGAACTGAGCCAGCGCTTCATGACCCGGCATTGAAGTGACCTGGATAATCACGCCAATCACCATAACGAATGCCCCAAGCATAATGGATTTGCGACGACCGAGCGCATCACCAGCCCAGATGATGCTCATGGCGCCGGCCAAGCAGCCTATAGATCTTGATTAGCCACGTTTGGTTACCCATGATATATGAAGTCTGAAGTCAAAATCTTACCGACTTCATAGATAGCTGTGACCAAGCCTTGCATTGTAGAGTCGTCTTTTGTCTCTGGGAAAGCTGCGTTGAAAGGCTCGGCGCTGATGATGCCGGACATAATACCCTCTATTGTTGAGATTCCTATTAGCTACAAGGAGAAAATGCTTGACTGGGTGTGGACGTACGATCATATCCGAAAAGTAAAAAGCCGCATGTCGCTACAGTAGAGACGGCTAGAGACAGCTTTTGGCCGGTCATGCCGGCAAAGCGTGGTGCTTCCTCCATTTTGCAGGTACGTTTCAAAGCCCTATCAAACCGCTGATCGACGTTGCAGATTCAAAGATCGTTGAACGGCGAGTCCAACCAGGTTTCCCAAGTCCTGCAACCAACAGCGCTCCTCCAGGGAGGCCTAGTTAAGCCAGGGTTAATCAAACGAAAGCGAGACGCGTTGGCCTAGAATGACCATCGAAGAAACCACCAGGGATGCTGGAAACAGGAGGCAATGAAGGTAAGGAAAGAAGGAGATGAGGCAATAATAGATCAAACCGGGGGAGAAGACGGGGCCTCCATATATATAACCCCCATACCGGACGTCCCTGATGGAAAGGTTTCTCCGATGAAGATCCGCTTGAGATGACCCTGTGCCATCCACCATAAAATCCACTTGATACATCGTGAAAAATATGGCAAACGAATTAACCATGGCAACTCTCCACGGGGAGCCCACATAACTCAAATCTCAGGTCCAATGACGACGGATACTTAAAAAGCTGATGCCAGGAACAGGCAGTCCATAAACCAAGCGATTTGCCTTTTGCAATGGAGTCTCTTTCATAGTAGACACAGTTACATAAGGATGACGATGAAGGGAGGCGGACGTGGGGAAGAGAACCCGTTAAACCTCCACAACGGGAATGCTCTCTGCCAATTATAAAACACATTTTTGAAAAGTTATCATATATTAGTAACGAAAGGAGGTATCCTCGGGATTATTGCCGGATTCGCAATTACTTTGAGCACTATACTCATCGTTGATTATTAAGGCTGGTTGAGTAGGTAGGCGTTTGTGAACTCGTAACCTAAGGCCGGGTGTCGAGCACCCAGACGCCGAGTAGGGACTCCTTGATTATCAACAGAATCCGGTTGGTGGCGCATGTGAAAATGGGTAAGTCGTCAATAGTTAAACCTCGCCAGCGGATTGACTGTAGGGAGTTATTTGTTCCGCATGTAGCATATTCGGACTCCGTACATTCTGGGGCTATATTCTGGCAGGGTTGCTGACGAGCTGCTGGTCAACCAAAGTGGCCAGTAGATCACAATAAAACCAAGCCTCTCCGTATAGTCGACTCTGGGAAAGTAGCCCACTTAAGCGTGGAGGCAAATAGCGGAGAAGGATACTGGGGCGCTTGGTGTGTGCTCCAGTCGGCAGTATATGATTCTCGGGCTGGCTTCCAACAATTCCATGGCATGTTGTGGCGAGAGGCATAGCTTGAACCGGAGGACGTAACCTACTGGGCACGACAACAGCTTTTCTTTTAAAGATCGAAAGAGAGCAATAGCTAGAAATTGTCGTTCCCTCAGCATAACGCACCAGGCTCATTCATCCCCCGGTGAGCATCTTCGCGGTCGGGAGACTTGCTGTCTCGAGCCTGAAGGTCCAAGGAGGTCGATCAAAAGAAGCTTTGCATGCGGTGAGCTTAAGCTCGACGCTAGTGCACTAGTTAGCTTAGAGCCAAGTCCCAGGGATTCTTGGCTGACATCACGTGGCAGAGCTTCTAGTCGATGACATAATATTGATATGAAGCCGAAGTTGCTCTGTGATAGAAGTTGTTCCAGCGCTTCTATTCAAAACGGAGCTACAGCCCACAAGACATCTTCGTCTACAGTGGGAAAAAGTGACAAAGAAGCTGAATGGGCTTGAGTAGAATACTCTCCCCCGTACAGTTTCTTTTCGCCTTCTGCAAGCAGAGTAATATGCTTAGGAAATTCTCCATCAATCCCATGCATGTACTCCGTAGCATGTCCACTGCCGGCGTTGTGGGCCTGGCATCGACTACGTCATAAGGCGTTCAACTTTTCGGGCCGCCTTCCTCCTTGATTCGGTTCAAGTCCGACTCGTGGAACAACAGACGCGGTACTCCGTACTGGATAACAGATCTTTGCATCAAAATGTAACTAGTTGGCTCTTTGCGTGTACTTTGTGGGAGAGTTGATGGGTTTAGAGGAGATGCGCATAGCTGCATCCTTGGCTGCGCAAATTGCGACCAACACCGCCCTGTCGCTGCTTGAACAGATCACGGTTGGCAATTTGAGAAGAAAATAAGAAGATATCAAAGAGAACTTATGGCAGTGTGCCATCAGCGTTGCATTATTGGGATGTACCAGCGGCGTTAATGAAAAGTTTGATATACATGAAGGATGTGAAGGTTTGGTTGATGTGGAGCAGTGTGTAGCCACGTCGAAGTTTTGGAAACATTGCCGAAATCAGGTGCAAGTTTGCCGAACTTCACGTTCAGGGGAGGTGCCGGCGCGTTATCCTTTGACTAAGCGCACCAGGGCAGCCACCTGTCGAACAGCATTTTGCCCAAACCAGGATCAGAAGTTAATGCGATGGGGTGAGAGGAGTAATGTATGTGTGTATGGACTGTAAGCGCACTCCTCGGTCATAAGAAGCATACTCAAAATTGTAAGGGGCAAGCGAGGTCGGCGAGTCCCAGCTAGCCTCGAAAGAAAGAAAATCAAGATATATTTTCAATGATTATCATCCTCACGGTAGAATGAAACAAGAAGAGATAGGGTATCGAACATGCTCGTAACAACCTCTGCCTTCGCCACACCGACGTCTAGGAATACTCTCAAGTCTGAATCGCAATGCTACTTCGCTGCATTGCTTCGTCTATCCTAAACCCAAACACCAACCGGTACAAGTCTAGCAACCATGCGTACTGCGCACTATGCTGGATCATCACCTGCACCGCTCTCGCAATGTCTGGGGCAGTAGCGCGTGCTGGAAGAGGTGCAGCACTAAATGCCGGATCAACAGTAACTAACTTCTTATAATTGACCAAGAGGGAATTTTGCCATGGTGCAGTACCGAATGCATCTGAGGATAATGCTTTGACAAATGAAGGGAAGGTATATGCGCCTTCGCGCTGAAAGCCGTTGTTCATCGCTGCGCGGACAATGAGTAGTTTGAGGCAGGTAAGGTTCGGGTCATCAGCCGGCGATTTTACCGTGTGTGTGGATGAAGTCGTTGAGGAGCGCGAAGAAGGACGGGAATAGCTAGCGAGCGTGGAGGTGGTGGTGGAATTCCAATGTGGATGCAAGTTCTGCGTGTTTCCGGCTCCAAGGACGAGTATATTAGGGACTTGAGCTTGCTCCGGAGAGAGCATGGTGGCAGTGTCATCGAATATAGTTGTTGGAGTCTCTGGATTTGGGGTTATAGGTTGGGTCTCGGGAGGTTCCGAATACGCTGCACCCTTGGCTTGGTAGAAAGCCTGGGTAAACGTCGTTTGGCTTGGCCTTGGTGTTCTACGATCTGGACGGACTTGTGTCCAGCCTTCTCGGAACAGATCACACAGATCCCAGCAGGCCTGCACTGCAGAACCAAGAAGCTCCACGTCGGCGGATTTTCCTTCCCTCTTGCCTTGTCGAAGGTTGAACAGCATTTCTGCAAGACCCCAGCAAGCCCTCAGTAGTAAATCGGTCTCTGTGACTAATTGCGTTCGTTGCTTCATTAAACGATGGCACAAGGTAATATAAAAGTCGAGGGTCCGCTCGCGAAAGGCCTCGGGCAAGTTGCGATCGTGGGTGTTGTAAAGATGGTTATTCAGCTCAAAGCTAACCCGGAGGATGGAATCTGCAATCTCATCATCTCTTATTCGAATCTCAAAGAGCGCCTGGCAAAACTCTCGACATAAATCTAGAGTTGGCCGAACATGGAGAATATGGTCGTCTTCTCGGTTTTCGTATAGATTTTGACACAGCTTCCAGCATGATTTCCAAGCTTGTTCCTGCATGCTACCTTTTCCAGAGTCGTGAAACAAACGCTCTCTATGTATCGAGCTTAAATTTGCCAGTGTATTACAGAGAGTCCAACACTCAGAAAGGGCAGTCTTCAACGCATTGATTTCATGACTATACGAGGGCAAAGTGGCAATGGGTACGTCGGTAGCTTCCGTTTCCTCTTCAGTCTCGTCTTGTGGGAAATCATGGTCAAAATTTTCCGGAATATCTATCCTAAATATTAGCATTGGAATGTTAGCCGGTAAGAGATATGAAAGATACCTTCCAAGCTGTTTGGCCGAGGCTTTCGACCGAATGCATCAATTTCTTGCCTGGTTTGAGCTCGCGGGGTTGCACGGTCAGACCAAGGTTCAACCTTCGTGGTTAATGGCGGAGGAGAAACCGGGCTCGTGGACAACTATACATCTATCAGCGAGAGTCATGGTAATCAACTAGGTGCTTCAAGTTAGAACCTTGTCTGAGTTGTTGCCGGGGGCCCTTAATGTGCGAACAGTTATATCCGAGTCATGTGCAGATGACCTCGTGGACTCCTGCGGAGAATCATCCGCTCGCTACATGGCTGTTAGTGCTGCTTCTGGAGGCCTAAAGACACGGGAATTGGTCGTACATATGCACCAAACCCTGGAGGAGCATGGATCACGGATTTTGGATCTTCCTCGTCCCCACGGGCGACGTTTAGAGGTATGTCCGTCGTTTGAAGCTGCAAATTGCCATATCAGCGCTTGCGCTAGCCAAGCAGGACTAAGAATATATCCCCTACAGTGAGCTCCTGAGGAACGGGGCTGGAGGGTTGCGATTCGCTGTCAGAGGTGGATATCTTGTCGCTGGCTAGCGATTCCTCGAGTTCTGAGTGTTGCGTGTCCGGAATCCGGCGCGACATAGGAGTGAAGTTCGCGGTGTCCAGCCACGCGTCGGGGCTTTGGGCGAGGGTGTGATTTGTGGCATGGGGCGGCGCGGTCATATCCGACCTGCAGTATAAAGTCAACGACTTATCGGTTCAGGTCACTAGACAGTAAACGAACAATGGAGACTGGGTAGATTTGCTTGGACTCGATGTACTGGACGAGTTTGACACTGAAGAAAAGACGCGATCCACAGGGGAGTGGGAGACCGCGTATGGGTGATTAATTGCAATCATTGTTTCCTCGACGAGCACTTAATCCTGTAATCAATGCCGGTCAGCTCTGAATAGTTAAATAATAAAGCGAGGAGCGTATCCCGTCGACGCGTGCAGACCAGAATCGCAGAATTCCAAAAATAGCGGCTGTTCAAACCGCGCAGAGGCACTTACAATGGTTAGTTATCGACGTGGAGAATTAGAGACCAGTGCTTCAGTCCGTTCTGAGGAAGCTCATAACGCGACCAAGCCTCGATGAGTTCGGGTGTCTAGCAGCAGAAGAGGAGGAAGCTATCCCTGGTGCACTTGGACGGAGGGCCACATTGAGGGACGGGTGGCCAAGAGAGCACCAACGACGATGCGGAGTGGAAACTGCACCGCCCGATAAGCGTCGCGTAGCTCCTTAAATTGCGGCGTAGTCAACGATAGAAGAATGTTGGAATTTTCGAGCCCGAAAAAAGTGCTCCCCAGGCTGGTCCACGATCGGTGAGACCTCGAGATCGAGTCAGATGCGGGAGGAGGCGCTGGAGCCAGCCATTCAGCGCCGACCCGAGCTGAGGACCACAGAGCAGGGATTCCGTCCAGGCGCCGACCTGGTGGCCAAGGCCCAAGTCGAGCCACTGGCGAGGAGTGAAATCCGCGTTTTCCATCCTGGCGGTCACTTGCAGGAGGCATGGCGATTTCTGGTTGGCCCCAGGCACCATTTCAGACTGCATCCTGCATCCAGCCAGACACTGATTCGTCACTAAGAAAAGACCTGCTGGGACTTCTCCAGTCGGTTGTGGTTTTCGGGTCCTAGCCGCCCTGGGGCCTCAGTCGTGGTACATCGGAGATCGAGCCTTTGAAATGACGTTCGCCGAACGAGGTTGTACCGGTTGATCAACGTGAAAAAAGGGGCGGCGGCGATGGCTTTGAATTCCGCTCGACTGGGACACGCGATAATGCAAATGCACCCTCGCAGGGAAGATGCCGTGTTGGCTACAAAGCTGCCCGTCCCGCGGATTGACAAGCGTTGAAGTTAAGGAACCCTCGCCCCGGTTTGGGGGCCTTTTTGGCTCCATTAGCACGGGTTGCTTTGACCGCTCCATGATGCCAGCGTCGGCCGCCAGACACCCTCTCGGTGCTCGTCTCCCCCTCCCAACATCAGCAGTACGAGGGACTCTACTCCAAAACAAAGAACAAGGCAGAAGTTGGTTGGATTGAATATAGTCCATATATCTACAATGTCTCCACCGAAGGAAGGAAAGCCTGCTCCAATCTCCGAGGGTTCTGCATACTCCTAATCCACTCTCGCAATAATGATATCGACTTTGGAAATGGAAGACTCTCCAACCTTAATTCTGCCGACCAGCAATCTATCAGATTCACTAAAAATGTATTGGGCTGGGCTTCCTCCGCCCCTCTTTCCTCGTGCCGCAGGAGGCGATTTATGTCTTCGAACGGGATGCTCGCAGATTTGCCAGGCAACTTATTGGCAGGCAGAGATTAAAGACTAGCGGGCTTCTGTTTGACGCTGATGTTTGGCTCAAGGGGGGAACTGTCGATATCGGGGCTCCAATCCTCGGCAGTTAGCCCTTGCGGTGTTTCTACCGCATCGTTCATGCAGGTTTGTATGAAGACATTTAGAGAGGCATTTTCGCTCTGTCACGCTCGGCAGGATTATATCTATGTAATTCGCACCAGGTTAGGACCAGGCCGCGCAGACTGGATGGGGTCGTTTGACTGACTTTAGGAGTTTCTCAATCAAATCAACATGTGTCATAAGCATTCGTCGGCAGCAATAACGCTTGCAACCGAGCTGGTCCATCGCGTCGCTATCCAGACAGTAAGAGCCAGGCTCTCATCGAACACGTAGCACAAGCTTGAGCTTACCCGTCAGGAACACCATCATCCAGGAGACGTAAATATCTCTCCCAGAGGTCTGCGACCACCTAAAATAGGAATATGGATAAGCGATTGGCTGAGAGAATCAATGAGGGAAAGCTTTGGGGGCTGGGGCTTTACCTTGCCGCAAGAAAAGCACCGGACGGGGATAATCATTTTCGAAGTCACTAGGCGAAGCGCCCACAAGAGAAACAGTGCTACTGACCACGCTCCCTTTGCGCCTCTCCGCTTGCTCACCAAAGTCGAGGTGCAAAAAGACAAGAAATAAAAATCCAGGGATCTGCTGATGTAAGCACGCGCTAGTCATTAGTTATTCGGACTAGCCTGGAGCTAGCCTAGAGCTAGCCGGGATAGGAATGGTGCGCGCCGAGCAGAGATTTTGGCTTTTTGAAGTTCGAGATATCAGACAGCGAGAGGGAGAAAAAAAGGAACAGTGACTGTTTGGGGAGCGGATGGCCAAGAGTCCAATTGACCGGTTCTTTCTGACTGCAGCTATCTGCCCTGCTGGCTAACGAGACTATCTTTTCTGCGTTTACATCCCGGTGCTGATCCGATCCTCTTCGCCATGAAGGAGAAGCGGTCTTTGCGGCCGGATGGGTCGCCGGACGCGAAACCTGCCCGTGAGGCTAAACGGCTAAAGCAAAGCAAGGATTCAAATATCTCTCCTGCGATTGTTTCGCGAAATAGGGATAAAAAGCTTTCAGGACAGGGTCAAGCCCCCTCCCCGAACAAGACTCCCTCGAAGAAGTCAAAGCCAGAGCCTACACCAACATTGGAGGTGCTTTCAGTTATACCTACCAACGCCAAAGAGCAAGAGCTAGGACAATTGAAGCGGTCTGATCATTGGAATCTATCATACCGCAGTGGGGGACGCTTCTTGAATCTGGATCCCGTCTTCTCAATAGACGAAAAGTATGTAATGGCAGCTCGTGGTGGGTGCTAAGAATTTGGGTTAATTAACTAACGTTGGCTTTTCTACACAGATATATCATCCTCGCCCAGGAAAATGCCGTGCAAATCTATTCCATGTCGACGTCTACGATTGTCCGGATCCTGCATAACCCGGACGAATTCCGCCGCATCGCAGGATACAAACTCTCTCCCTCTAACCCAGCCCATCTTTTCGTTGCAACACACTCTGGCCATGTATCGGAATGGAATTGGACGACTGGTGACCTGATACAATCACAGAAATCCTCGGAAAAGGTCATCGCCATCGATGTTATCGGGGACGTGTCCGGCGATTCCCCAGCTGATGCCTCGCCCATCCTCTACAGCATTTGCAAAACCAAAAACAAAAAGTACAGTGTATGTAAGTGGAGAAATACTGCCGGCACCAAAGCGCAATCGTGGAAACAATCTGTGATATACCAAACGTCCACTCGTATCGGCAATGTTCGCGTCGCCGCCAACGGCCGACTTATCATCGCAACTGCCGGTCCGTACGTCGTAATCGGCCAAGCTAGTATGCCGGCGTCACAAAATCAAAAGAATTTTGAATATACCTGGCGAAAAGTCCGGCTGCCGATAGTCGTCTCATGTTTTGATATTCGGGAGCCGGCTCAGCCCGATAAACCTACAGGACCCCAAAAGGGGCGTTCACCCCCCATCGCAATAGACCTCGTAGTTGGAAGCTCCGATGGTGCGATATTGATATATCATGATTTTGCCAATACGTTGTTGCGGTATGAGGGCCAAGGCGAACTGGATGCTGGATTGGTCGCCCGAAAACTACACTGGCACAGAGATCGGGTGAACACAGTAAAGTGGTCGAAAGATGGTAAGTGTGGCTGTTGCATCATATTTAGCCTCCCAATATACTAATAAGGCCCAGGCAATTATCTCATATCTGGAGGTTTGGAAACGGTACTGGTGCTTTGGCAACTCGATACTGGGCGAAAGCAGTTCCTACCACACCTTACCTCTCCAATCTGCACGGTGGTGGTGTCTCCGTCTGGGACCAGCTATGCTGTTAAACTCGCGGATAACTCTATTATGGTGTTGTCAACATCAGAACTAAGGCCAACAACAAGCATGAGCAGCTTGCAGCTACCCTCAAACGACGATATGAAGAACCCAGAAACCAAGGGATCGAGCAGCAAAACGATTGAAAGCATCCGTGAGCGGCCTATTGGTGTTCTTCCTGCAGTTTTGCACCCTGTACTGTCGGATTATCTACTCCTGGCGGTCCCCTCATCTCAGACGGCTCCTTCGACAGCCAAATCCCCAACCGCTTCGTTTCTACAGACTTTTGATACGCGGTCAAACCAACATATTTCCCGTCAAGCCCTTGCGCGAACTAACGTATCAGTACTACACACGGGCCCTGATGGCACCGAGTTGACTACGCCAGATGTCAAATTTGTTGAAATATCATCCGATGGAGACTGGCTGGTCACGGTTGATGAATGGGAACAGTATCCAGGATCTCTGAATATTTTATCGCCTCTTGATGAGCCTGATGCAAGGCAACGAAAAAGAGAAATATTTTTGAAATTCTGGCACTGGCATGAAACCAATCGCGAATGGGAATTGGTCACTCGAGTGGACGGACCGCACTTTTCGCCATCGAGTGGTTCGATGCCTATCCGTGGTTTGGTTGCCAACCCACAGGATTTGAGCTTTGCAACTGTTGGTGATGACGGGGTGGTTCGGCTGTGGAAACCCGAATATAGGTCTGCCCATTCACGTACGCAAGGCGAACACCGTCTGGTCAAGTCATGGCGATGTTCTCAAAATATCCCATTAGCTGGGTCCCTGTCCGCAGCCACTTCTTCGGGTCCGATGCATTCATGTTTGGGCTTCTCGGAGGATGGCTCGGCTCTCGCTGTATGCTGGGCTGGACCATCCAATTCCGGACCCAGCCTTGTATATATCATTGATCCCCACAGAGGCCGAGTTGCACATATCCGTGAGGGACTGTATTCTGGAATCCCCCGAGGATGCGGTTTCCTGGACCGATATTTGGTGGTTCTGTCCGATCACCTCGTCTCACTGGATACAGTCACCGATCAGATTGTCTTTGCGCTTATGCTAGTCGATAGGGACGATACCCAACGTTTCGACAAATACACCCCTTTGCTCTCCTTAAACCACCGGAACCAAACCTTTGCCATAACATATCCCACATCGCAGCCTGAATCATCGAAATCCGGCCATAAGCTACGTTTCCAAGTGGCAGTGTTGGAGCCGACGACGCCTAATCCACTGTTTGCAACAAGAGTCAGAAACGCCCCACGAGCACTTCTGTCAAGCGTCAAGTCTGGGGACTACACCGTTGTTGACTCAACAGCCCGCATACTGCAGCTCTCGTCGAGTAACCAAATGGCTCGTGTGCCGATTGAAACCAGTGCCATTGACCTACCCCTTGGAACTGGTTTGGAAAATATCTTTGGCTCTCGCCGGCTGTTGGCCGAGGCGAGCCAGTCTAAGCTGGACGGCAACCGTACTGAGGTTCAACATGGGCAGACAAGGAATTTGGCCGATATATTTGATATTGGGCCTTCATTTGCGCTACCTGACGTCGATGTCCTTCTCAAGGATGTGGTGGAGATGTATAGTACGAAAAGTGTAGAAGCCTAGGTGCCAGGTATTCCCCATGCGGAGGAAGGGTGTCCCTGCGTTTAGCCATTAGAATCCAAATAGTTACCTCCCGCCCAGAAACATTGTTCCAGTTATACCCAAGTCTAGAAACTGCAGATTCTCCACGTAGTTAACCTTCGACGGCTGCACTTGTGGGCTATCGAATACGAGAACTGAACGCTCGTATGAGTCATTCAATAATCCATCTCCAGTCCTGATAAAAGGGCGGAGATGTACTTAATCACCACAACACAAATACACATCCCAACCACTCTCGACGCAAACCGCCCAATATGTCTTCCGGGAAGCTCATCCAACCCCACCCAGGCAGCAGCAGAACCTTCTACCAAACCCCATCGCCGTATGAGAAACGGATCGGCTACTACCGCGGCGTCCGCCACGGCAACCACATTTTCATCTCCGGCACCACCGCCGTCGATCCCAACTCCCCGCCCTCGGCACCACAGATCCTGCATCCCGGGGACGCCGCGGCGCAGATGCGCGTCGCGCTGGGCGAATGCCTGCGTGTCGTGGGGCAGTTGGCGGGGGAAGCGTATAATGAGAGGCGGGCGAGGGAGAGCGTGGTCAGAGTGAGGATGTTTGTGAGTAGGACGGAGGATGCGCCCGGGGTGATGCAGACATTCAGGGAGATGTTGCGGGTCTGGGAGCGAGGGCTGGGAAGGGGGTCAAGTCGGTGCGGCGGCGACTCTGATTGTGGTCAAGGATGGGTTTGTCAGTGATGATATGCTGATGAAAGTGGAGGTTGATGCGATTGTCGATGCTTGAACATGCTAGAAGTCGCCCGAACGTACTTTGGATGACGATTTTACATTTTGAACCAGGACGCAATATTGCCAAAGCTGATTTGTTGCTGGGACACTTGACGCTAAATTGCGTGAAATGGCTCGTTTACTCAAAAGACTACTTCCTGACTCATCAGGCGCTCCACGACTTCTCTATCATGGCCACAACACCAGTTCCGCCTTGAACATCCGCTGCAGCCTCTTGATCATCTGCAAACTGTTGAACCATGCCGTATGATCACGGGCCAGCCAGCCATGGGGATGCGACATCTCGTAGTTCTCGGCGATATGGAATTGGTCCGTTGTGAATATAAACGTCCCGTCCTTCTCCAAGTTTACCTGCATGACGCAGAGTCCAGGCGTGTGGCCGGGAGAGTGATGGAGCGTGATGCCCTGGAAGAGGTCGAGATGCGGCTCGTTGAATGTCTGCCAGTTGAGCTTGTCGAGAGACATGTAATGGGAGAGGTAAACTCCTAGATCGGCTCCCGTTGCGACGGCCCAGCAGGCATGTTTGAATTCTTCCTCGTGGACATAGATGGGCACATCGGTGCCGACGAAATGCTCCAGGCCACCGGCATGGTCGAGATGCAGGTGTCCAAACAAAACCGCTTTGACGTCCTTGATGTCGTTGCCGGTAGCTTTGATGGCTTCTGGCAGTCTATGCTCTTTGTTATACACCGTTCGAGGGAAGATGTCCGTCAGCGGTGCTCCCCAGTTCTGGGAGAAATAACTGAGTTAGCCAACATCTCCAGCAGTTCTAGAAACAGGCTCACTATGTCGATATTCTCCGCGCAACCCGTCTCAAACAAAATCAATCCCTCCTGGGGATGTTCAATCAAAACAGACAGAACAATCAATTCTCGCCGCTTATTCTCAGGGCTCTTGTTCGTCACGGTGCTTGTATTCCCGGCACGAAGGAGCCTACCATATCCATACGGGTGAGCATAGCGATGGGAACTTAAGTCCAAATGCTCCACGTACCAGCCTTCGTCGCATTCGAGTGTTCCTAGGTCCAAAAGGTGCATCTTCGTGCCTGGAGGGCAGTTGAATGCCGGCAAATATGCCTGGGCGGCCTGACTAGCCATCTCGGAGGTCAATGTCATAGACATTTTTGCCAAAGCCGATCCGATATGTGTTCAAGAGAGCTCCCGTCTTTCAATCTCCCAGTTCAAAACTCAGGGTATAGTGCTTCAATGCACAGAAAATCAACTGGGCCCCAACTTGAGGATCGAGGCAATGTAGCACACACTTATGCGCCTCCAGCTGGATGTAAACCCCCGCTCGGCCAGCCATCACCGCTTATGCCGTAGTCTCCATCTTCCCCATAGGGTTACCAGCGGGGAGATGTCGTAGCCATGTGAGCGCGGGATTGTGAATCACTCAAAGTCTCCGAACCGTGGCACAAGCTCATCAGAGGGAGACATGCAGCATCGTAGGCCGGCTCTAAACCTCGCACAAGCCGCTGTGAAATGTATCTACCAGCTTCTAGCGTGCATTAAAGAGATAGTAAGAGGGCGTGGGCCCATAGATGTCCCCGCATTGCCTAGGGGGTTGTTGGTAGCTTGCGGCCAATTAACCCATTTAGCTCGGCAACCGGGTAGAAACAGTTGAAGCGGAGGAATTCAATGATTTAAAGCATGTTTATTGGAATGAGATATGATTCAAATTTGCATTCCTGCCTTTGTAACTAACCTACTAGCTACAGTTAGGGGCAGTGAGTGATATAAAGGTAGTAGTTACATAAAGCTAGTTGGTATCATCCATGCCCTTCGGCCAGCAAGAGGAATCGACAATTTTTAATTATGCAACTCATCCTCAGAGCTGGTTAACTAGTCAACTAGGACGACCCAACCTCGTTCTTAACACAACTGAACAATTCTCCCAAATCATGCTAACCAGTGGCAGACGGTTTAATCGGCCACGCGTGTAGACGATGACCGGGTTCATCTGGGAACCTCGTCCGATCGGCTTGAAATAAAGAAAGACCCCCTCGGGCGAACTTCCACGCCATCAACTGGCCGAGCCAACTTAAGTTTGGTGATAGCGCCGGCTTCTTGAGTCGGAAGAAGGAACGTAGAAACGACGAAAAATTGGCGCTCGAAAATCGACTATTTCGTACGCGGGGACGTCCATTCTAGGAAAAGCGATAGTGGAACGGCTGGAAAGCATTCCCAGTAGTTCGGGGGATGGGGCGTATGGCGGTACGAAATCCTTTCGAGTAGTTAAGGCCACTATTCAGGGCCAGGGCTGCGGACGGCGGACGGCGGCGACGGAGTCCCAGGTTCTTCCCAGGCTTTGAACCTCCATGCCTATTTTCTCGTTGTCATTTCATCGATTTTTTCATTGCCTCTTCTGCATTGCAGAACAACGGTCTGAGCTTATTCACTCTGAAAGTGACTCTTAAGATTAAATACTTTTATCAAATAAAAGTGAAAGCCAGATTTCCTAGCGACCTGAAGTTCTTCATGGGACGGACAACCGGGGTATTTGAATGTCCAGCCATAAGCTCCTCCTTGAGTCACGATGGCAAACCATGTTTCTAGATCAGTAGGGTCATTCAAACACCTTAATATCACCTTAATATCTCCTTAATATATCCTTAATATCTCCTTTGGTAGTTTAGGGTTCCCAGCGGAGGCCGAGCACAATTGCTCATTTTGAACAAATTTATATCGCCGCATGGAGAGGGCTCCAGCCAACCCAGGGGTTGGCTAGGGAAACTGTTCAAATTGAACTGCCTGCCTCTGAAACAGGGTTGCCCAGTTGAGGACCCATTGTAATAGTCGAGAAAGGTTAGCATTGCGATTTCCGAATTTGATGGTATCGACTGGAGGAGTTTTGGCGCTCAGGATCCCAAAATGTTCGCGACATCAAGGAGTGAACGAATCAAACCACATGTGGAGGTTGTGGGAGCTTGATATCCATACTGTCTTCCCACATTCGCCGCTTATAATGGCACGGCGCAAAGAGGAACTCGCCCTAAAGCCAATGCCTCTACCGTCCGCAAGCCGGCAGCATATTTATTGTGGTGGGAAGCAGAATGTGCTTGGAACACGGATTCGTAGGTAGTGCCGTAGCTTAGGTGAGAGAGGGTTTCTAGAACAACCATATATTTATTAGGCATATTAGTGGCTTTCTGCAAGCAGCAAGCTAATATATTTTTTATGTTGATCTTGTACTTGATAGGCTTCGCAATGGCGAGAAATGGTAAGAGTAGTCGGGGGCAACAAGCCTATAGAAGTTGTAGTTATTATAATAAGAGCAGAGTCGAAGCCCCTTGATTTTAGGAGAAATTTGGTTGGCTATTGGCACATTTATTAGTCTTTCGATCATGGTGCATTAAATTGAAAGCATACGTACCGACGTGCAAAAAGGAAGAACGTGACGTGAAGGTAAACTAACCCACAAAATTTATAATGTTGTATGTATTCAACTTTTATTATAGTCCGCCAACAAATGCTTTTGATCATTATAAGCGGGCTGCTGCAGTGGAATATGTCTGATACGTGCAGTGAGTATTGGATATGGATTGTTTCTCGGCATGTAAGAGCTGAGATAGTTAAGTGCCAGATTCTTTTGATGCTAAGAAACCGGTTAGCTGCTGAACAATAGCAAATAGTGCAGGTAATCTGCAGGATAATGATGCAGATCAACCCTAGACAGCACTGTCAAGATAGCACTAGAACAGCATCACCTACTAAAGCAGAACTGAGGCAAGACCATGATATCTAAGAAACATGATGGTGAATAAGCAAGATACTGTTGAACGTGCCCAGGATCCATCAGGCAACATCAATCAGCTTGCGAGAGCCGACTCTTATCAAAACAGCCTTTGGTTGCCCAGTGGTATCTTGCGCGAATCAGTGCGCCGGGATCATTTGATAGGAGCCAACTAGACGTTGCCGAAAAGGCCTGTTGATTCGTTACGTGTTGAGTTTCTGAAGTTCTGATATGGGAGCTGGAGTATTGCTTGCTGTCAGAATGACGAAAACTGTAGTCTGGTTCTCTTGGAATCTGATCAACATGTATTCAGCATTTCTATCTCGTTGTGTGAGGATTCTGTCCCAGTCGCCGGTGCTGAAGTGGAACAGTTGAACCGGGGCGGGAAACCAGCATTCATCAACAACCTATCGTGCCGCTTTGCTGTAACTCCTCCGTAGTGGCAAGGAAAGATAGTATTTGAAATTGTCAAAGCTATGGCGCACTAGAGAAAAGAAATGTAGAGAACTTGGGGAGAAGCACATGAAATATCTGGTGCTGATGAGGAAGGAAAAAGAGAAGAGAAAACAGTCAGGTTCGCAGAGCAGGATGAGGGTTTATATGTCTGGCGGTTGGAATCCCGTGAGCACGCTAAAGACTAGCAGGGCCCAAAGTGACGAGAAGGGTGAGCATACAAAGTGAAATACAAGAGCAAACTCCGGCATGCAGGGGTGATCGGGCAAAGTAAATGTGAATGAAGTGATATCATTGAATGAATTTTAAAAAACTCATGCCTATGGATACACGCAATATAGGCCAGTATACAGTATGTTACCCAATTGCTAGAACAGGACGTAACTCAGGAGAGATGACTGCAGATACCAATAATGTATCATATATGTTGGAGTGAGTAAGCTGATTCGAGGAAACGTGCACTAGCAATCTAGAAGTGAATGGCCTTGGAGTATGTGGCCATGGCCGCTTCTTTGAATGCCTCTGCGAGAGTTGGATGGGCATGGCAGGTGCGTGCGATGTCTTCGCAACTGGCGCCGTACTCGACAGCAAGTGTTGCTTCAGCGATCATTTCACCAGCGTTGGGGCCAATGATGTGAACACCAAGGATACGATCAGTCTGTTCATCCGCAAGGAATTTGACTTGGCCTTCCGAATCAAGGTTGGTCTTAGCACGGGAGTTGGCGCTGAAGGGGAATGTGCCAACCCGATACTTGATGCCCGCCGCCTTCAGGTCCGCTTCATTTTGGCCAACCCACGCAACCTCAGGGTGAGTGTACATGACACTTGGGATGGCATTGTAGTTGACATGGCCATGGCCCTTTTTGATGTACTCAATGGCAGCAACAGCCTCCTCTTCTGCCTTATGCGCCAACATCGGGCCAAACGTGCAATCTCCAACAACACGGATGTGTGATTCTTTTGTGCGGTACTGTTGGTCAATGATAACTCGGCCTTTCTCGTCAACCTCGAGGCCAACCTTCTCCAAGCCAAGGCCTGTGGTATAAGGTCGACGGCCGATTGCAACGAGTACGACGTCGGCCTCTAGAGTCTGCTCTTTACCGCCTTTGGCAGCTTCCACCTCAATCTTTACCTTTTCGCCACTATCATCACCCTTGGTGACCTTTGTGCCAACCATGAACTTCAAGCCCTGTCTGGAAAGTATTTTTTGTGTTTGTTTGGCAATTTCCGTGTCCATACCGGGCCCGCCGATTTGGTTGAGGAACTCTACAACGGTGACATCTGCGCCTAGGCGCGACCAAACGGAGGCCTAATTCAGAGTGGCTGGTCAGATAAAATAGTAGGAAGGTTGTCAAAAAGTCTAGCTTACCATCTCAAGGCCGATGATACCGCCTCCGATAACGATCATTTTTTTTGGAACCTCCTGCAAGGCAAGTGCTCCGGTGCTAGTAATAATTCTCTTCTCATCAATATTCAGTCCCGGGAATGGAGTGGCCTCGCTTCCGGTTGCGACAATGATGTTTTTTGCGCGAAGGGTCCGCTCTCCGCCTTCCAAGAGGTCGACTTTGATGGAGTGCTGATCGATGAATGAACCGGTTCCCTTGACATATTCAACCTTGTTTTTCTTGAAGAGAAATTCAATTCCCTTTGTGAGCGACTCAACGGAGGTGTCTTTAGCTTTCATCATTTGCTTCAGATTAAGTTTCACATCGCCGACCTCGATTCCACGCTTTTTGGTGTCATGGAGAACTTGGTGGTACAGATGGGAGTTGTTCAAAAGAGATTTCGACGGAATACATCCAACGTTAAGACATGTACCGCCGAGCGCGCCTCGTTTTTCGATACAGGCGGTCTGTGAAGTGACGACATTGCATTAGATATCCACAAGGGAAAAAGGCTGAGGTTTGCCGTAGTCTAGAGAGAAGGAACGGAAATCTAATACCTTTAAGCCCTCTTGGCCAGCCTTGATTGCAGCGACATATCCAGCAACTCCACCGCCTATAATGACCAGGTCATGTTCCTCTAGACAAGTGTTAGCAAAGTCACTGGTCTTCAGTGGCCGCTATATTCGGCGAGTTACCTGACTCTGTCGCATATCCGCGTTTCGATCGTCCGAGAATATAAACACTGGATACTGGAAAAGAGTGTTGAAAGGCGATCTGGGGAGAAGTTTTCGGAATTGCCCGCCCAGCAAGGCGCGGCACGATTGGACGGAACATTGTGAAGCGGGTGCGAACGGAAAAAGGAAAGAAAAAAAGGGCACAATTCAGCGATTCCCAAATCCCCAGAAGAATGTTAGGGCGTATGGGAAAGAGAATCCGTACAGAGAGCGATTGGAGCAAGGCGGGTTGAGAGGAAGAATGATGAACAGCTCCGGAATAATTCAACGTTTTGTTGAAGGCCGAGCGGTGCCAAATCAGGAATAGTCGGTTTGTTGGGTAGGCGCTTCGGTCACTATCGGCAATTCTCGGACTAACTTTTACACTGCTTATGTAACTATTTGGCGCTGACTAATAAGCACATCTCGGGTGAACTATAGTCCGAGAAGCTTGCTCGGAGTCCGGATTATATGTAATCCGATGACGTGCCAGACGCGAGAACCAGAGGACTGGGTTACCCTTTTGGTTGAGCAACCGTCGAGAGGAGATGTTTTGGCAATCAACGGATCTCAACTGCATCAAGTGTTCATGATGGCTAATTTTGAGCCAAACGCCATCATTCGAGGAGCACAGCTCACTCTTGTGGGAGGTTGGCATCTCAAACCTGGGTTGTAAAACCGTGACGGCTGATGGGATCTTGAATTTAGCACATCGAGCCCTCCAGAACCCGGAGCTGTTTACATCTGAGCACTACAGACAAGCTGCTCTTGCTGTGGTAGCTGGCATTGCAATCCGCATGATCGTTTCCATCCCGGTGAGGGCACTCAAGCTTTTTCTCCTTCCACCATGGGTTTACTAACCACTCATAGATTATAATGATCAAGTCTATCATATGGATAGTCTCCTTCATGGTTGACCTTCAAGCCGCAACATGGGACGACAAATTACTCAGTGGGCTTGACTTTATTGCCAACTATGTGCTGCAGGTTCCATTTCTGCTGATGACGCTGATGCGATATCTCACACCGACCCTGGATAAAGTGTGAGTACAAGCCGTGGCGAGCGTGTTTGCTTTCATTGACCATCCAATCTAGTTTTATGGAATCCGTCAGGTGGGTAGACTCGACATATATCCAAAAACACAAGTCCGATAACCCGGAGAAACTACGGGCAATGTACTATCCGAATTTGGTCTTGTATTCAAATAAACGTGACCGGCAAGTCGGCGACACAGCTGCCGCACTCCGGTCCTTTTTTACTCGGTATGGACGGCGAACCGCCTTATCCCTCGCCGTTTATTTGCTTTCCCTGTTGCCGGTAGTTGGGCGGTTCGTGCTTCCCGCAGCCAGTTTCTACACTTTTAACAAAGCTGTGGGACCCGTGCCAGCAACTTTTATCTTTGGATCTGCGCTCGTCTTTCCCAGACGATACCTTGTTGTGTTTCTGCAAAGCTACTTTGCATCACGCAGCTTGATGAGAGAACTGGTATGGAAACTTGACGTGCTTTCCCACTGTCTTTGTCGAGACTAAAATATATCCCAGCTGGAACCATACTTCGCTCGCATTAGGTTTACCAAACAACAGCGAAGAAAGTGGTTTTTAGACCGTGAGGGCGTGCTGTTCGGATTTGCGTTTGGGTTCTACGTACTGATCAAGATCCCATTGGTTGGCGTCCTCCTTTATGGAGTGGCGGAGGCGTCAACGGCGTATCTGATTACCAAAATCACAGACCCGCCTCCACCGCCAGCAGACGCTGGGAAGTTCAAGGAGAGCCAAATTCGGTGGACTAACAAGCACATGTTTCTGAAACTACCGATCGGATCCTTGGATCAATATAACATCCCAGATGATGACGAACCTGAGCATTCGAAGGGGGAATTGCCACAAAAGAGGTTCAGCTGAGTATTAACCGCCACTGTTTCCAGATTGAACGGCTGGGAGGATCCGGCTATTCAGATTTTTACTAGACTACTTACGAAGGCTATGTTCTAGTTTGGATGCTTACAAGCTCGGAAGCCAATATGCGCAAGTTATTTCTGCGATATAATCACTATTATATTGCAATCGCTGATATCTTACAACTCAAAGCAAAAAGTCCAGGGCTGCATGAATCGTCATAACATAGATAAAAATTATAAAGCTGGTGTCAGGTCGTCATAAAGGAACGCTTTGTATATCTCGCCCGACGAGATAAACAAGAAACCGCAAAACTTCGGACAAAAAAGGGGTTTTATCTGCTGCACGACAAGAGCGAGTCAGTCACTACAAACTGTCCTCCTCCGACGCGAACCAACTTACACCGCCAGACGCAGGTTTCTTTCCTCACAGTAATCCGATAGTCACATCACCCTTCACTCGCGCATACAGGTCAACCTCAGCCTCGAGATCCAACTCGATCTTGATCTTCAAGCTGCTGTCTCGCGTCTCCTTGGGCTGTGGGCGGTCCTTAATTCTCGATTCTCGAAGGGCGCCTCGTCTCTGGCCGCTTTCAGCAAGTTGTTGCTCTTGAGCATATGGATATGGGTAAGGTTGTTGTTGTTGCTGTTGCGGCTGCTGCTGCTGTACTTGTTGAGGGGCGCGCTGCATGGAATTTGTGCCGTTGGGCTGTTGCTGTTGTTGCGGTTCAGACTCGGACTCTGATTGAACCTCGTAGGCATCTCCTTTTCGATCGGTACTGGGATGCTATCAGCCGCTGGGTGGAGCAGAAAAGGGGCTGATCTAAGGGAAGACTTACGAGTCAGACATTTTCTATGGCGGGTTCGTAAATTCAGCAATATGTTCAACGATCTCGTTGTAGTATAATGAAAATAAGAGACAGCTAGTTTATCAGGATGTACAATATGTTCGACTGATGGAAATAAATGGTCTAAAAAAAGGACCAGTCCTGCCCAGGGCTGCAATATATACATCCCGATCTCCAGCGCATTCAAGTTTTTCTACTTTTGCCCCAGTCTCCCTACGTAACCGGATGGGGAAAATTTGGAGCAAAAGCACTCGATACGCGAAATATCCCCAGCTGTTTGGCCCGTGGATATAGCGAGTGTCCGCCGTCCCCTTTCCACGCCTTAACCTACGCGCAACCAGGCATGACGTCAGGGTGTGGCGTGCCAAGACCGCGCATGTCTGGAGTCTTTCGAGCTTGACCTCATCAAAGCAGGCGACAGGGCCAGTTGCAGGGAACATTACCCGTCAAGTTGCCACGAAAAAAGTGCTTGTACCTTAGTTGGCGAATGGCGGCTGGAAATATTTCACGATGGGGGTGTGGGTGATATCATCATGCGCAGTAGGGCTGACGGCGAGACGCGGATGAAATGTCAAAAATCGACAAAGCTAGCCGCTCCGCGATGTGTGCTGTCGCCAGCATTTTTGAAAGCGCTCGGGAAAATATCGTCGCGCGTTGAAGATTCGGAATTCGCTATTTTTTTTTTAACATCAGGGGCAAAGGGTTGTTCCCGTGTTGGGCGCCCCAAGTATCACTTGATATTCGCAGTTGTCTCGGTATCACCAAGTTGCTGCAGGCCGGGCCACTGTACATAGCATCGAATTTGAATGCAGCTCCCATTCCTCTTACCTCTGACAAGCTTATCATTCCCCGTCGCCTGTAAGCGTCTATAAGGAGATTTGAAATCGCATAGCACTGAGATGGTCCTCGGCGTCATAACGGCAGTGGCAGCTTGTCCAGCGATTGTCGGCACAACTGAAGCCATCCGCTCCAGCCAGAAAAGCCAAAGAAGACAAGAGCACCGAGGCAGGAAAGCCAACCTGATAGTATCCTGCTCCGACCCATCGAGAAAGAGCAAGGAGGTCGACGGGTGTTTTGTGGTGCTCAAAGATCACAAGGTACCGTTCCCTGCTTCACCCCGTTGGAACTGGTTATTGACTCTCTCGACGACATAAATAGCTCTGGGTAGCCACGCGACCCCCCGAAGACGACCACGACGACGAACCCCAAGATGATGCCGCGCGCTTCAGGCAGTCGCTGCATTACGCCCACCACTTTGAAGGCTACTTCTTCCCGCATCCCGAACACAAATGGCGCAAAGGCGACGGATTCGTGAGCACCATCACCACCGATCCGCCGCTCCTGAACTGGATCTATGTCGATGCAGATACCTACGAGTTGAAATATGGCAATAAGAAAGAGTCCGAAGGGCAGATGCTGGGCCCGTGGGACTGCACCCCGGTCGATCGCCGTGTGACATTCGACGGATGGGAGGGCTTTGCGGTGGCCGAGGAAAAGGACGGGGAGGGGCGATTGGTGGGCTGGGGGTTGTATTTTGACTACGATGATGATGGCCTGAGGGAGAAGGTGCCGTTGGATCGAAGAGTGATGGAGGTGGAGTTAGTGCGGAGAGAGATGAGAATCCCGCCCGTTGCAGAAGAAGATGATGAGGAATCGATAAAGAAATGAAAGAACTCGTTCGTTGCGCTTGTGATTTCCCCGCAAAATCTAGTATGGAGAAGTCGATGCATGATACCTTTTGTGCATTCCCATGGAAAGCATCGAATATGATTGGACTAGTAAAAATCAAACTAAGATATCGACACAGCGGTTCCCATGTAACCATAGCGCAAAACCAACGGAAAACAGGCCGTAAAAAGGGTCCAAAAAACGCGATCACACACGCCCAAAATCCAATCCAGGAACCCATGTCCATCCGCGCATCCACATGTACAAGTTCATTTTGCGCCGGTTTGTAGATCTATCGTTCACGATCCAATTCACTGCGGTTGTTGCGAGTATTGCTGGGGTTGTTGACCCTGAGGAATCTGTTGCTGGCCCTGCTGAGGAACTTGTTGGCCTGCTTGTTGAGGAACCTGCTGGGGTTGCTGCTGTCCGCCGCCCAACGCGCCGCCGACTCCCTTTGTTGCTCCACCGACAACATCGCCAACACCCTGGGTGGTCTGGCCGACTGCACCACCGACGCCCGAAAGGGTTTGCCCGAGGCCCTGACCGAGGCCTTGGGTTGTTTGACCAACGGCACCCGTTACACCTCCGAGAAGGTCGCCGAGACCTCCCTGCTGGCCCTGCTGACCTTGACCCTGCTGGCCACCGCCGCCGCCGAGAAGACCTGCCATTTTCGTGGGATGGAACGAGCGCTTCGTCTAAAATATAGGTTTCGAGACAGAAAACTTTGTTTATGAAGATGAACTTGGCGTCAATTGAAGTTCGATAAGTGGTTTGAAAGAAAGCTCCGATGGATGTCTGAAGGGCAACAGGAGAAAAATCCACGGCCGTTTATATACTTAATGTGGCCGGCTAAAACTCGTCGTCATGTACCCACGACATCTGGAATCCGGGCCAAATCCGCCACCTGGTCAACCAGATCCGATGGGAATCATGTTGGAGTCTTCCCATCGCCCACCGTGATGCAAGACGTCCACACAATCATGGTGGGGTATGCTCTGAGCTCAGTGCGCAATGCCAAAGAGCGGGGAAAGTTGGCGACCTGACCAAGAAAGCAGGAATCCTGAATGTTCATGGATGTTGCATCCATGGGATCCCAAAGGCGGGTGACGTTGAAAAGATGCATTCCCATACGGAATATAGTTTTGTGGAGGCATTAGTCTCGTCGTGGATTCTCTCGTGTCTTCATGAGATGTCCGCAGTAGTGCTAAGTAGAGTAACACTATGCACGGAGTAGTGTACATCCATCCGCAAATCACGCTATGTGTGGCTTGGCGGCTGTGGCTGTCCCCAGAATGAGGTCATCGCCTGTATCGCTGATTATATAAGCGTGTTTGCACCGTTTGCAGCCACAGCTTAGTCATGGCCAAGGTTCGTGTTCCTGAAACGCGCCAAAAAGGGGCTTTGACCTCCAACTTCCACCTTCAACAACCACCGTCCGAACGCCCAGCGGACTCGAACTGCCGCTGGGGTGGATGCGACCACTTCACTAATATTTAATTTTGCTCGTTGAACCAGGGAGGTCCTTGACAGGACTCTTGCTTCAGTCCCCCGCTCTATATGCCTTCAACATGTGAAGGAAACTGGATCCCCGAGGTTGTTTCCGAGTGAAACCTGCGAATCTTACCTCGAGATCACCGGAGACCCTTTTTATCGGCGCCTTCGGAACAATTCATTTGGTCAAGGGTGTGCTTGGCCTTGTTCGTGCCCCTGGAATCATCCGGCGTCAAACCATGGCCAAAGAAACCTGTCATCTTTGATCACATCGTTTCGGACCTAAACCCCCGAATTATTCCGTTTTTCTAGAGATGCCGAGCCGGAATCTCCTAGTCGAGGATCCTTTGGAGATCACTTTGGCGGGTATCTTGCATCTTACACGCCAATGCCTCGATGCCGATGGCTTGTGCGCAATTTGCGACGAGGATGGTTGATTAGCCCAGGGTGATCCGTGGAGCTCAGCACTACCAAGCTCAAATTTCTCGAACGTTCACAGAATCCCCACCTTGCACGATGGTCGATGGGCCGATGGCCTTATCCCTGCCAGCGGCCCATTTACCCACTCGGATCAGGAAAGGCATCTCGACATCCAGGGTTTCCCCAGTGGCGCCTCTGGTTGCCGTGATTGCAGGAATGATACTAATGCAAGTTCGGGCAACAATGCTGCCGAAAATTGCACCTCTATGTTTGTGCTTTTGCACTCTGCTTCTTGGTCAATGTGGTTAGTGCATTGCGCCTTCTTGAGCCGCTGCTATTATCGAAGTTTCGTCTAGGGACAAATAGTTTAAACGCCAAGCTGGCAGATTCATTCACCCAGTTGTTTGAAGGGCCAGCCCACCAGACATGGCGCCCTGTCGTTTCATGAACGGTCGCTATCTCCATATTGTCCTTTTGTTTATCCTAGCAAGGCTTCCTGCTCCCGTGCGATAAATTTGTGAATTCTCAATCCTGGGGAACGTGCTCTCGGTTTCCTGCCGATCTCCTGCGAGCTAACTTTGAGTTCAAGGCCCAGAAACCAATCCTCACCTCCAACTCTTGCAGACCGTGGCAAAGTTGTCGTCTGACCAGGACCACTGGAGTTTTATTCTATTCCAGGGTGTTCCCTGGAATGCCCCAAGGTACCTCTGATTGAATGCACCATCCAAATTGCTCCCGTTCACGGCTTCGCCGATGGACCCTCTCGAGGAGGAGAACATGAATCCTTCAGTAATGAAATCTTATCAAATGGTTTCATCGGAGGGGACTTCGGGGACTCAACGTCGACTGCGTTGTTAGACCGCAGCTCAATGGATGCGTGCAATTATAAAAGGGACGCATTTCCCTCGAGAGAGATGTTCATCATCCCATCCAAACCCAGCACCACCGCCCTTGCCGAGCAACAATGGTTTCCATGAAAGTTCTGTCTATCCTCTTTGCAGCCTTGAGCGCTGCCGAGGCTGCGCAGCTCCTCAGCGTCCAGAGCAAGCAGGATGTCATCGATGACTCGTACATTGTGGTTATGAAGGATGAAGTCCCGATGTCCGAAGTTAACTCCCATGTCTCGTGGGTGCGCGCGACACACAACAGCGGAAACGCCCGCCGAAACGCCACAATCACCGGAGTGAAAGCGACCTTTGACATTGGCAAATTTAAGGGCTACACCGGCGCCTTCGACCATGAGACTCTGGATAAGATTCTCGCGGATGACAAGGTAGCGTCTTACAGCCGCCTCCTTAATTCGTGAATACTGAACTAACTGATTTTCCAGGTTAAATATGTCGAGCCCAATCAACGAATGACCATTCAGGGAGTGGTTACGCAACGCAACGCTCCATCTTGGGGTCTCGGCAGAATTTCCAGCCAACGACCAGGAAGCCGCGACTACCACTATGATGACTCTGCGGGCCAGGGCATTGTTATCTATGGCGTTGACACCGGTATCGATATCCGCCACCCGGACTTTGGCGGTCGTGCCATCTGGGGTACCAACACCATCGACAGAGACAACCGCGACGGTAACGGCCACGGAACCCACACTGCTGGTACCTTTGCCGGAAACACTTTTGGTGTTGCCAAAAAGGCCACCATTGTTGCTGTCAAGGTCCTTGACAACAGAGGCAGTGGCAGTAACTCAGCCATCATTGAGGGCATGAATTGGGCTGTCCAACACGCGAGACAAAACAATGTTCTCGGCCGCGCGGTGATGAATTTGAGCTTGGGAGGTGGATACTCCCAGGCCACCAACAATGCCGCTGAAAACTGCGTTCGCGCCGGTATCTTCCTTTCCGTTGCTGCTGGTAACGACAACGTAAGCTTTCCCCCTCTAGATCCCCTGCTGTGAATTGCCGACATACTGACGACTGTTGCAGCAAAATGCTGGCAACTACTCCCCTGCCTCTGCTCCTAACGTTTGCACTGTCGGATCCTCCGATATCCGCGACAACCGCTCCTCTTTCTCCAACTGGGGTCGAGTTGGTAAGTCACACTTCATTGTAGAGCTCTTGAGGTTCGCAAATGCTAATAGTATGGCTTTCTAATACAGTTGACATCTTTGCCCCTGGCTCTGATATCCTCTCTACCCGCACCGGAGGTGGCACCACCACCATGTCTGGCACATCCATGGCTGCTCCTCACGTTGCTGGCTTGGGAGCTTACATTATGGCCATTGAGCGAACCCACCCAAGCCGTGTTTGCGACCGCATCAAGCAGGTCTCGATCCGTGCCGTTCGCAACGCTGGACCCGGAACCACCAGCCAGCTCGCTTACAACGGCAGCGGCAGATAAATCTTGGAAACTCCTACATCAAGACGAATCATCGCTGGGTGATTCGAATGTGCTCAGGCTTGGGTTTGGGTTTGGACTTGGGTTCCGATGGATACTTAGATTTTTCCTTTCTTGTAAATACATACCTTCATTCCAAACTGGCATTTGGAATGAGTTATCTTAATCAAAATGCCAATTGCACAGCCAATCTTTTCTGATCTTTGCATGAGTTGACGTCTAACCGCACTATTTTGCAAACACACTAGTCACTTGGCATTTAACCACATTCGGCTAAGCTCAGTAGTTAGTGAATTAACCAGCTGACTAATCAACACTTGCGCCTGCCACAGTCAAAAAATACTTTTGCCCAGCAGCAGTTCCTATTTACAGTGACACGCTTCAAGTTACCATGAGGTGAAATTTGCCTGGCAACTCATCTTTTTGAATCAAAAGAGACTATTGCAAACCAATCAGTCCCGTTCCTCCAAAGCGACGTCGTCCTCCATTCATCATGGACAGTACGGCACACGAGCTAGAGCCCTTGACGCGGCCAAAAAGCGGCCGCAAAAATCGGAACCGCAAAAGAAACAAACAAAACAAGGCTTCCCAAGACATCGTTGCGCCGGATGCGAACGATTTCAAGCATGACAGTGTCGACAACACCCACGTCCCTCCTCCCTCCACGCCATCCACCGCTCCACCCGCCTATACTTCCACCCCTGCTCCCGATCCCGCTCTAGTTCCATCTACGACGACGTTTGCGCCCGTGCCAGCGGATAGAGTACCGTCTCCAACAGCTCGATCGAGTGCATCATTTGAATCTGCGGATTCTACCGGCCACCGACGGCGACGACCACGGGGTGGGAGGAAACGGAGAAGCAAGGCGATGATAATGGACGATGAAGAATGGTTGGAGGAGATGGACCGCAAGGACCGTGTGAGTCAACAACCGGTCAAGGGAAGCAACATGCGGAGACGGATGCAGCAGCAGGGGGATGTGGAGGAGGTGATACAGAGGGACTTGAGTGAGGATCTGTTTGGGAAGGTGCTCTGGAGGAGCAGGAGCAGGAGAGGGATCAAGTGAATGGGGTTATGGTTTCAGAGCCTGGAATGGAGAGGGCTCCAGAACAGGAGGCGGAAAGGGAACACGCACGGCAAGAGACAGGGCTACCGTTGCGGCCTAAGGAGCAGGAAGAGGAGGCTGCGTCTCCTGCTTCGAGTAGTACGAAACCCACTCTTAACAGGGCCTTTGAAACTGGAGTGAAGGCATTCAATATCCGCAGGACGTCGACATCTCAGAATCGAAAACCCATCACGATCAAGACGGTACACGGCTCGCCCGACGAAGCTGCTGGTAGCAAAAAGAAAGAGAAGAAAGTGAAAAATAAGGAAAAGAAGAAGGGCAAACAGCAGGTTGCTGAAGCTGCGGAAGATGAGGTGTCTCCACGGCCGCATGAGACTGGTGAGGCTGAAGATGAGGCGGAGGAGCCTACGCGCGAAGAACCATCGTCGAGTGAACGCGAAGTTCGGATCAAGCTGGATTTGAATCTCGAAATCGAGGTTTTGTTAAAAACGAAGATTAAGGGAGAGATTATGATTACGTTCATGTAAGAGACCCTGCGTCTGTTGGGCTTACAAAGTAATAAAGGAGGCGCAATACTTCTTCTTGCGTGTTACTTTTTGAGGGAGCTGCTGAGCAGTGAGACAGGCAATGAGGTCGAAGTCTACCAAATCAATAACACCGTGAATCCCAAAAGGGAGACTGCATGATCCCTCAGTCCAGGAACGAGGTGGGATATTGTGTCTATTGGGCTCAGGACATGTGCAAACGTGTAGGATGAATAATCTCTATGTTCCTGGCGAGCATGGAGTAGATATGGAAACGGTCTCGTCTCGATGAGCCCAGTTTATGTGTTACGAAGTCTATATAGTACGGCGTGGAACGAAGAGTGCAACGGCTAGTTATCCGTAGATCAACAATCCACCGAAAATCAAAGCATCTGCATAAATTCGTTCTTAATGCCACAGCATTTCTCTCCAATCACAAATGATCTCAGCATCTCAACTCGCCCAAGTACCGGTACCTGTCGAGAATGACGCAACGCAAGGGATGATCGACGGGAGTGTCAATGCAATTTCCCGCCGCAAATCCTGATAATCGCGGGTTTCGAGCTTTTTGGGGATTTCGCCCCAACATCCCCCCGGGTTCTGTTGTTTCCCATGGGCCCAGGTGTGGGGATGGACCCGACGGATGGCGCACATGGCTTTGAAGTGACGTAAAACGTGGATGCAGAGGATCGTCACCGGTTGGTTTTTGGACGAGTATAGGGCTGAGATGCGGTTCCAAGGTGATGGGGCAAGCAAGTGGGCCTGTTTTTGTATAAATATAGTTGTTGGTTTTGGAGATGCAATTGGGTTCAGTTATCGGTTTGGATTGAATTGAAGATAATATTGAGAATATATTTTTTATTTTTCATTGAATATAGTTAGATATCTGACCACCGCTCTGAGAATCATGTCTGACTCCGCCGCAACGCAGAAGCTTGATGAAACCAAGCAGCAGGCCACAGAGCCGCAGGCACAGCAGAAGACAGACCAAAAGCCCGACGAGAAAGAGCAAGCCGAACATGACAAGAAACTCGCCATCAGAATGGCAGATTGCATCCAGCAATCGCTTGACAAGATCCAGCCCATCCTGAAGATGATCACAGAGGTGCGTACGAACATACAACTGGATTAGATCGAGTCCCCCCAGTCCACTGATCTACTTCCACCCACCCCACCAGGCCATCGACAACGAAGAACGCAAGCCCGAAAACGAGCGCGATGAGCAAAAGCTCGTCGACACCGTCAAGCCCCTCCTCGAACAGGGCGGACAGATCCTGCAGGAAGCCAACGGCGCGATTCGCGCGCTCGATCCCGATGGCCGGATCGCGGCCAACGCAAAGCACAAGACCGCGGCGCAGCAGGCGTCGCCGGAGGAGCATCGACTGGCGGATCTGCTAAAGGAGCTGACGAGCAATGTCACGCAGACGATTGAGAATGCGAAGAAGAAGGTGGCGGGGATGCCGCACGCGAAGAAGGAGTTGAATCCGCTGTGGGCATTGTTGACTGGTGAGTTTGGCTTCTCTCGGGCGCGTGAACTGGATGGTGTGTCTGGGACAATGCTGAATAGCGATTACTCTCTGATAGAGCCACTGGGGCAGATTCTGGCTGCGGTTGGATTGCTGCTGGCTGGTGTTCTCGGCCTTGTGGGAAGACTGGTGAGTTATTCGCTGCCCCCACGGGAGATACCTACATGTTTTCGCAAGCTGATGTCAAGGTAGCTCAATGGCCTGGGGCTTGGTGGCTTGGTGGACCAGCTCCTCGGCAGTCTGGGGCTCAAAAGCGTCCTCGAGGGCCTTGGGCTGGGCTCGCTCACGGGCGCGCTGACGGGGAAGTGATGGCGGTTTGCTTTGTTTGCTTGGTTGGCACATGACGTAACTAGTTTGCTCCCGGTTAATTGATATTCCGAATTGTCTTGGCAGGTACAGCTTATATAATCAAGTTTTCCATTTTGAGCCTTTGAGCCAAGTTCCTCCAGTTCATACTCCATACATATATCGTGGATTGATTCATGGACGTTGAGTCCCAAAGTCACAACACACTGTCCGACCATGCATACTCGTACAAGCTAACCCTAGTCTACATGAAGGCAGCCAAGCACGCGACGAGACCCAGACCCAGCGCCGTTGCAGCACCCTCGATGCGACCGGCTCCGCTATCTGTCTGATGTGGCGGCGGCTCCGGCATGGTGATGGTTGCGTTGGTCCCGGGAGTCGTGCTCGGGTAGGACCCGGTTCCAGATGCGCTGGTTGGGTTTGTCATGAGCGGAGGGCTTCTGGTCGTGGGTTCTTCCGTAGGTTCCCTCGTGGGCATCTCGGTAGGCTCCTCGGTGGGCTCCTCGGTCGGCTTTTCTGTGGGCTCGGGTTCGACCCAAGTGGTTACAACGGTGGTCGAGGTGGACGTCGTGGTGGTGGTGCTGGTGGTGGTCTCCTCAGTCGAGCGGGTCGGACGAGCAAGGGTGAGGGTCTTGATCGCCCGGCACTCCTCCAGCGTCATGTTGTTGGGACAGCAGCCGCCTTCCGCGCAGTACGTTCCCGGTGGGCAGAAGGCTAGTATTGTTTGCGCATAGTCAGCAAGTCTGGGTTATCTTTGCGCGCTGCATTGCCGGGCGCTAAACACTCACTTCCATTCTGGCAGCAAGTTTCTCCCTTGCTCGGATTGAAGCACATGTGGGCATGGACGCAGCTCTTGTACTCGGGCCCGCAGGAGTTTTGGCAGTTTGGCTCCGCGACATCCTTGCACTGGGTTGAGCGTCGCATCAGACCGCTCATGCCATTTTGCTGGTGGGAGGCGGCGCCAAACTCGAGCGCATGGGAGACCGCGACGGCACCGGTGAGCAGAAGAACAGACCTGAACAACATTGTAGAAGACGGGGTCAGCGCGTGAAGGGTAGAGACAGTGATATCAAATGATAAATGAGCCGAAAGTATTCCCTATCAAAGGAGTGGCTGTAGATTCACAGAATCTACTGAAGTAAAGGACTGACTGGACAGGATGTTTGTCGCAACAATCGCTTCTGCGCAGACTTTTTATTCTTCTTCGTTTATCCCTCACCCCAGGGCGACAGGGAATGCCTAAAATTAAACCACAGATCAAATGCGATTTGTTAATTTATCTCAGGGAAAGGAAAAGCCCTGCACCCCACCAATCGGTGATGACAGCCTATTAAGACATCTTCGCCGGCGCTTCAAACAGATCAGAAGCAGTGTTTCCATCACCGCCAGTCTTGGTGTGAGATTCTATTGCGGTTTTGATACCCTAGTTACTAGTTGACCGCAAGCCTCTTGTTGGATGGCTGTGTCAACCCAACAGGTGAACAAGCTGCTCTTCCTGAAACAATTCTTGAAACAATTGCCAGTTACCTAACTAGTTAACTACTCTGTTCGTGTTTCCACAGAACCAGTGGCTTGTCCCCTCTGTCGGATCTTCCCCTGGCACAAAAATCACAAACATCACAGTCACTCATTCACCACCTCCTGTTGACCGGCATACACCATCCAAAAAAACAGAAAAAATATCATGCTGGCTGATTTCTTCCATCTCTTCCTCCCAGTGACTCACCTTGAGTTTGTCGGAGACTCTTTTAGGAATCCGTTCCATTGCCCTCTTCCCTATAACGGTGCTTGCCAACCGCATCCATGGCCCCATGGATGTATATAAACCTCTCGTAGGAGGGAGCTCTACTGCTTTTCCTCATTTCTCTACCAAAAATCGTGTTTGCGATCGTCAAGAGCACCTGTGAATTTGCCTACCTTTACCACTCATCTTATTTATTCCAGCCAAATCTCTTGTCTTCCATATTTAATTTTCAAGTCTGTCAGCTCGCTTGATCAACCATGGAACCTACCTCTCCTGTCCAGCAAGTCGCAAAGAATGGCTGCACCATGGCCTCTAGCTTTCCAGCCTTCTTGCCCGAAGACCCAGCCCTGCGCCTAGGTCCTGAGGAGTTTGAACAATACATCTGCAAACTACTGCCCACCCCAGCTGGATCCAACCCCGAACTACACGACATGGAATCATCAACCGACGAGTATTCCTCTGAAACCACTGGGAACGCATTGGCTGATGCACTGCATAAATTAGCAACCCTCAACGAAAACCCTCAGTATCTCCCCCAACTCGCCGCCATCAATCGTACCATTACAGAAAATGGTGGCTTCACTTTTGCCTCGACAGAATCTGCTTTGCTTGACTTGTTTCATAGCTTAGATGGGGAATGGGCTCCGGAGGTACTCACTAAAAAACTGAAGGCAGCCTGGAAGGAAAACCCACTTTTGTGTCTGAAAATAATATGGAACACGCGAAGCATCCACCTCGGAAAGGGAAGCAGAAACAAGTTCTACATTGCCATGGGCTGGCTGAAGGAACACCACCCGCGAACCCTCTTGATCAACTTGCAATGGCTATTCCGCCCTGTCATCGAGAAAAACGCTAAGCCTTCACAGGACAAGGAGATAGCCACCGTGGAAAAGACCGGTGCCGCCCTAGATGACTATGAGGTTATTCATGGCGTCTCCCATGGCTACTGGAAGGATCTTCTTAACCTCCTTGCTCTATCCGCAAACGGAAAACTAAACATGACCAACCCTCGAAAGGTCCTTGAGAAAAGTTGTTATACTAAGCTTGATCAGTCCGAGAAAAAATATGGAAAATTACGAAGGGGAGAGGAGAGGAGAAAACGCTCATCGACCAAGGCCCGCAGCGAACAACCAGCACGCCTGGCAGCGTCTAGGGAGCGTCGAATCAAGTCAAGCCTGGAGCGCGATCAACGGGAAAGCCGGGACGCAAAGGAGCTGCGCCGCATTAAAGAGCAGAAGCGTCACCAGAAAATCATAGACCGGCTATCGAATGACCCCTTCCACCGAGCACTCCATCTAACCGTGGCACGCTTGTTTGCCGAAAGGCTTCAGAAAGATATGCGACTAGCCACAGGGACCAAGCAACAACAAAGTCAAGTTTCCCTTTGTGGCAAATGGGCTCCGTCTGTTAGGAAATTTCACGACAACCATACGCGTATAGCGACGACCATTGCCGAGATTCTGTTTCCAAAGGAACAAATTTGCCAACCAAACGATACGCGGGAAATGTATCTAAAGATGGCACGAGAGCAGTACCGTTTTGGAGCTACATCTAAATTGCGTAACGTTTTACAATGCGTCGAGTGCGATATATCCGCGAATACGTTCTCGAATATCAAGTATAACCGCGTTCCATCTCTTGCCATGGACCAATACAAAGATCTTTTCTTGAAAAAGGATACCGAACGATTCGAACAATATCTCGTGGATGTGGCGAACGGGAAGACAAGCATATCTGGCGCTGTCCTCATGCCTGGGCAGCTCATTTCGCAAATCAAGAAAGATGGGCTCAAGAGTGCCACTGAAATCGTAATCAACCTGCAGTGGAATGCTCTTCTCCAACGCATCAAAGACTGTGGTTCGTTATCGAGCTCCATAGCAATCTGCGATGTTAGTGGGTCCATGACTGACTCGTCCTCTATGAAAAGATGCAATTTGATGGATATTGCGATGGGGCTTAGCCTGATCATTTCAGATATCACGCAGCCACCATTCGGCGGGAAAATAATAACTTTCTCTGAATTCCCCGTCATCCTCAATATCGGTGGTCCTCATGACTCCCGCACTCTACGGGAAAAGGTTGTCGCCTTGGAATCGTCTTCCTTTTCACTGAATACCGATTTCCTCAAAGTATTCAGACTCATCCTGGAGTTAGCTGTGTCCAACAAGGTCAAGCCCGAGGATATGGTCAAGAGACTTTTCGTGTTCAGCGACATGGAATTCGATCAGGCCAATGAGCCCTCTAGCGGATGGGATACCCATCATCAAATCATCACCAAGGAGTTCGCAGCGGCTGGGTATGAAGTTCCCGAAGTGATCTACTGGAATCTCAGTAATGATGCATCCCGTCATACTCCGGTTACCCAAGATATGCCAGGAACTGCGCTCGTCGGTGGGAACAATCAAGCCATGCTGAAAACATTCCTCATGACTGGCTCAGTGAGCGCTAATGGGGAGGAGGAAGCGGACACGGATTCCCAGATGGACGAGGATTGGAGCTTGGTTGACGAAAAGGAAAAGAAAAAGGCAAAAATCACACCGTTTTCGATCATGATCAAAACCATCGGGCACGAGGCCTATGACATGTTGACCGTGGTCGACTGAGTTTGTGTACGACGAGATGTGACGCCTAAAAAGGAAGCCGGGTTTATGTTCTATCTGTATATTAATTTCCAGTAGTTGCTCATTGTAATCATGAGCCGCTGGATGGGCTCTCTTATGGGAAAAGAAAAATACCTGTATCCACTAGATATGCAACAAAAGCACTAATAGCCCATTTTTCTGCATGGGTGCTGGTGAATCTTTCCAGCCTGTGCTCGAACCAAGAGATTAACAATGAAGTTTATTGTCTAGAAAAACGTGCGGAAAATAATATTATCGAAAGGAAGAAAATAAAGTCATTGGTATTAAAGCAAGAGAATCTCCAATCTTATTCAAAAATACTCTACCCTTGCTGAAAGACAAGTAGCGGGTAGATAAATAGAGGTCACAACTGGCCTGCCCCGTTGACTTTGACCTTTGTATCCAAGCTACAGTTATACGCTTATTCAATTCGCGGGCCGTGATATTTTTTCCGAGCATAGAAAATCCAATTTATCCCAGTAAAAATAGCCATGCATCCCAACACAGCTGATGTATAGTCTAAATCCAAGTAGTCAGCAATGATGGGCTTCAGATAGCTCCATATTAGTGGACGGGACTCACTCATATTCCCACTCGTAGCTGGCATCACGAAAGGAAAGTCATAAAACACCAGCACCAAGATGCCAAAGGCGCATGTAACAACGTTCGCCGCCCACCCGAACAAGCCCAGATTGAATTTTCGATCTGAAGGGAGCCAGCGAGACGCCCGTTTCCTGTATAATACTAGAGCAATGGGGATAGAGAATGTGATTTGCTGCAGGACAAGGCCAGTCCCGATGAGGGCATTGAAAGCAGTTGAAGAGCCCAAATAGATGCAACCAATGATGAAGATAACGAAACAGTTGGCGAGGATAGCCCAGACAGGAACATGTAAAGTTGGATGCATACGGTTGATAAAGTTAGAGCAGACAAGGGCGTTGTCGCGCGCAAAAGCCCAGGTCAAGCGGGAGGCGGTTTGTTGGCAAGCATTAAGGGAGAGGAGCACCGCGATTAGAAGAAGAACCATGAAAACAGTGGCAGCAGCTTCGGAGCGCGTTGCTTGGTGCCATATTTCATAAATGGGGACACTGCGTTGTATCATTAGGCTTCTTACCGTACGTCGAATTATGGATAGAGTCACATACCCAGTGGCTGTTCCAAGGACTTTGTCAAAATCTGCCATGCTATATGTCATTGAAACCGCAAACACGAATGATGTTAGGAAGGCAACGCCTATGGTCGCCATCAGCGCTCGAGGCACCGCGACTGAGGCGTTAGAACATTCTTCTGCAAGATGAATAGCTCCGTCAATGCCGGCGCATATATAGTTCGGCGATACCAGACCGGTAAGGAAAACGATCCCATCGGAGCTCCACCCAGAATTGTTAATAAACACCGTCCAAACGAAATCGCTGCTTTGTTTGTTAGTTGAACGAGCGAGACAAGTTATGACCATAACGACAAAAGATGACGTGGTTAGGGTGACTGCGCCGCAACATCAGTATAATTTTCAAGCAAGAGTCGATTATAGTACTTACAACCAAAGTCTTGAATCCAGGAGGTCCGTTTAAGCATGAAAATGTTGTAGGCAGCAATAGCGAAATTCGCAGCTTGATATAATAGGAAGTAATGCCAGGGCTGTGGCTCGTAACCCGGGTTATAGAAAATAACCATAGCTAGGATTAGTTGTGGCACGATGATAGAAACGCCCGCACAAACTGATATCCAGCTGAAAATGTTCGCAGCGCCACATGCATAGCTCTATTATGAAATATGAGACACGGCTTTAATATTGATTTAGGGGCATCATACCAGTCCACGAGTGAATCTCTGGGGAGCAAGAATGCTGGTCCAGTGGTATTGGCCACCGGCCGTAGGATATACCGATGCGAGTTCTGCCAGACTGGCGGCACTACACCCGCCTAGGAATAGGACCAAGATGATACCGTAAATGATCGTAACTGTACCTCCGGATGCAATCGCGATCGCGATGGTAGCGGCAATAGCTGCCCACGCATTGCAGATATTCCACCCTGTACAGAGAATGGTGAAGAGTCCGATATCTCTCTTGGCCACCTCCTCATAGCCGAGTCTTGCCAGTGCTTCTCCCTCATGATTTACTGTCTCTGCAGGAATACCTAGAACGGGACGTTAACGACATTTGTTTTACATGGTTTGGGTGAGTCAAAGGTGAATCGTACCTTTTTCTGCTACCGAAGCATGATCTCCAGAGGCGCTACTGACCATGTTGAATGTGGCTAACTATTCTGTCTGTTGCACGTCGAATTGATTTAATCCATTAGTGTGAATGTGATTTGATGATATCCGTAGGATAGTAAACAGGCACCAGGCCGTCTATATAATCGCAACAGTTGAGACAGAAGGATGAGTTTTTGATATTATATAAAGGCGATTTGGCCTGAGTTGCCAAATCGAGGGCTAAATCGACAAGAAGAGCAGTCAGAAAGAGAAACTGCAAAGTTCAAGGGCTAGCCGGGCTTAGCACCAGAGCTCAACATCTGAAGAAAATCCGGGGTAATTCTGGGGTGATGGACCCCGCAGGACAATGCTGCCTCATTGAGAAATGGAATTTAACCCAAGCGAGAGAATAAAGAGAGTTAAAAGCTCCGGGAGGAATGTTATTCGGCAACCACTGGTATTAGTTGTTCGTGGGGATCTGGCAACGAACCGGGCAGAAGTCGGAAAGCATTGCCGCCAGGATGGCCGAAAAGTGGCCATCAAGGTCCTTTTTGAGCGCCACATTCCCCATCGGCCCAGCTGTACGGAGTAGAGTTCATCGATACCACGATAGCGCAGGCTTGGACTGTCGATGCTTGTTGGATGGACGGACGTTTGGCGGTTGAAGCGAAGTCAAAAGGCAAGGGTGCGCTAAACCCGATTCGGGGCATAAAAGGAGAAACCCGCTTGATGGACCTTCCACGGCTTCAGACAAGCAGCTCAACCCACAGAGACGCACACACAGGCCGCAGCAGCCCAGCTAGTTATATTCCACTGGCCTTTTGGTGTGGACTGCTAGAGAGACGATGGATATACTCCACCACGGTGTTGCGATAGGATACAGATTGCGGAAGCCATGTGCAATGCCGATGGCCTTCTCAGATCATTATCCAGGCACGGAAGGTATACAGAGGGGGCAACACTCTGCCAATGACTATGTTTCTGCTTAGCCTGCCTGGTAGTTATAAATATACCTCCAACGGCACGTCCTGCTCCTTTCCACGCTTCAGAACTTCAATTCGCAGTTTAAGCACTTAAACCCTCTGTTCACAATGCGCGGCCCTCTTCCTTCCGATCTGCCCAAGTCTCGCGACGGGTATCACTGGACGCCTCATGATGGCGTGAGCCAGGGCCTTCCGACACTTGCCGCTATCAGGCCGGAAACAAACGTCAACTCCCCCCGGCAGGTCTATGATGTTATCGTTGTCGGTGCCGGATACGCTGGCCTTACCGCTGCTCGAAATGCTGTTCGCGAAGGCTTGAACGTTCTTCTCCTGGAAGCTCGTGACCGTATCGGCGGTCGCACCTGGTCTTCCAACATCAACGGATATGCCTTTGAGCTGGGTGGGACGTGGGTCCATTGGACCCAACCACACACTTTCCGCGAGGTATACCATTACAACATGAAGGATGAACTTGAGATCTCGCAAAATTACACCACAGGTGTCAACCATTTCCAATTGATCACCTCCGATGGCGTCAAGACTATGAGCCATTTAGCCGAGGTATGTCGCCGAAATTAGTGCACCTTTGAAGAAATCCATACTGACATCCTTTCAGGACAAACTTCTAGAGAGTGCAGTCAAGAAATTTGTCGATATTGATGGCAACCTTGGGCGTACTGTGATGCCCTTCCCTCATACCCCAGCATACAACCCCGACGTTGCGAAATGGGACAAGCTTTCCATGGCAGACCGCATCGAGCAGATCAAAGATGACCTGACTCCAGCAGAGAAGGCTGCATTGGAAGGATTTGTTCTGCTTTGCAGCGGTGGGACGCCAGAGAACACTGGATTTTATGATATCCTTCGGTGGTGGGCGTTGGGATTCTACACTTACCAGGGAGTCATCGACACATGCGTGACTTTCAAATTCCACTGCGGTCAATCTGGATTTGCGAAACGGTTTTTCGACGAGGCGGCTGGCTCTAAAAAATTTTCATATATCTTCAACTGTCCCATTACCGCCATCAAGGACAACGGCAAAACCGTACAAGTCACTGCCCAGAGTGGCAGGCAATTTACCGCTTCAAGGCTTGTCTGCACAATCCCGCTTAACGTTCTCAGTACCATAGCGTTTGACCCGCCGTTGCCAAAAGCCAAGCAAGAGGCCGTCAAGATTGGCCAGATCAATCTGTGTTCCAAGGTGCACGCAGAGATTAGGGATCGAGACCTTCGCTCGTGGAGTGCCATCGCGCCATACGACAAGCTGGTGTATGCTTTCGGTGACGGCACCACCCCTGCAGGAAACACCCACATTGTTGCTTTTGGTGCAGACCTGAACCCTCTGCACCCTGAAGATGACATCGAAACCACCAAGGGAGCTTTCAACCATTTGGCCCCTATGGATGTACAGCGCCTTGTTTTCCACAATTGGGCACGGGACGAGTACTCACAGGGAGCCTGGTGCATGTTTGCCCCAAGCGTTGGGACTACCTTTTTAGACGCTCTTCGTGCTCGTCATGGCAATATTTTGTTTGCTAATTCGGACTGGGCCACCGGTTGGCGCGGGTTTATCGACGGGGCGATTGAAGAAGGGGCCAGGGCGGCGCAGATGGTCCAGCAGGAGCTAGTGGACCCCCACCCCACACCCCGGACCCAGATTGTAGGATCCAAGTTAATGTTTCCAAGCATAATTCTATATGAACACTCCCTTTTAGCGCCTGGCTACTCCCGTAGTTACCTGTGTTATATGAAACTCCGATCCAAAGTCCAATTGCAAGCCCCTGACCCTAAACCCTAAGCCCTAAAGCCCATAATTCAGGACAAGGTTTACCCCTCCCCCGCATTTTTGCTCCAAAGACCCAGAACCTGGGGAACCCTTGAGTTCTCACTTCGTTGCCGACTCCGCCCGGGAAAAGGACCAGATCTCAACCTCACCCAAGCCAGGCGAGGCGAGAGTCCCCGCGTTGGCGAATGGAGTGGGGTAGCATGACGTTCCTTGTGAAAATGCTCTGCGACTCGGGCGACGGGCGCATTTCTCTGCCTAAAAGAAGCTTATCCCGCCGAATCTAGGCCTTGGAGCTTGGATTTCGCTACGGGAACTGATTTCGCTCAATTAACCAGTCATGTGCTAGCTTGTCCATCGAAATTGATCTTGCTGCTTAATTCTGTCTTGCTTTTTGAGTCTCTGGGTCTGAATGAGACGACATGGTTCAGGATATAAAAGCGAGTGCGTGAACTGAACGAACATATTGACTGCCCCCTCGATTCTATAGCGCGATCTCGGTGATTTGGACGTCCTGGGCACACTTTTGGCCGGCATGGGGAAACGCAAAGGTTGATTGTTGCTCAAATACACCGAACGTTTTGCTGACTTGGGCTGGTAGGCTGCTTCGATTGCTCCAGACGGCGTATCATCTGCGACATGACGGAGCCCCGTTGTCTTAAATGCGCAAAGAAAGGACTTGTGTGCTCCGGGATGGGGATTCGGTACCGGTTTAGCCCAGGGATTGCATCGCGAGGCAAATTCAGGAATCGACAGATTCCCGTATTGGACGTCAGCGACAAAGAGGGCCTTGACAAGCTTAAAAGAAGTTCAACACCGAGGAAATCAGCCTCGCCGATAATTCCAGGCTACACTGAAGAACTGGATCGTTCCTTGCCAGTAGCAGATGCAGAATCCTCGTTGATATGCGCTACGTGGGGTGATACTGCGTATCCTGTTCTGGATAAGGATGATCGCACGGAATACCTGCAACAGATAGTACCGGAAATCCAAATCCTGGATGGGAAGACTCAGATGTTGTTTTCGCACTGTAAGGTTTTTAAATTATTTTTGCAGGCTGGTGACAGTTATGGCTTTCATTGAATTAACCAATGGTCTTATCCAGTTTCGGCTTTTGTTGCCCCTGCAATGGTCCCTCTCGACAGCGAATTCAACGGCTATAGGCGCATCTTCCTCCCATTAGCACACCAGGACCCAGAAATCAAAAGAGCCGTCTGCCTCGTGGCGGCGTTACATCTGAGCTCCAAAGTCCCCGAGCTGCGAGAAGCAGCAAACGCAGCGAGACTAGCATCGATTTTTAGTCTGAAGCGTCTAGTTGACGAGCATGATTGGGGTGACGTTTTAAGCGTTTCGAATTGGGCCGTGATTATTCTACTGCTAGCCGGAGAGATGATTCGAGGTGGATCGGACTTTACCTATCTCTTGAAGATGCTGATGTCATTGGTAAATGCACGAGGCTCGTACGACGAGGAGTCGGAAGTGCATTCATTCTTAATGCAACAGACTAAAATGTAAGTAGCCGACTACCCAATTTACGAATACCGAATGTTAAAATGCCCTTTAGGATTGAACTATTCGGGCGTCCATTCCTCGGCGAATCCGAAGGTATCCAGGCACTCAGCAAAGGCGTCAGCTTCTACTGCGACTTTGTCTCCCACACCCTCCGCTACAACCCCAATGTCTCTCGCCAACTCACCGTCTCACTCCTCATCGCGGCTATTTCACATGCCACGGATATATACCTTCGACGCGCCTTAGGCCTGCTTGATTCCTCAAATCCTGTTGACGACGGGGCGCCACATTATACCTCCACCACTCCGGCTTCCCCGTCCTCAAGCCTGCAGCATCTTAAGGATCTGGTATCTGAGATCCACGCTGACACTCCGGGCTCACACACGCTGGTATGGGTGTACTTTATGGGTGCAGCAGAGAGCAGCACCGACGAAGATCGAGATTTCTTTACGAGCAAGTTGCAAGGGCTGTACGGGTCGATCGGGTTCGAGAATATCATAATTGGATTAGCTAATTTGAAGGCGCTCTGGGACAGTGGTGAAAGGCAAGGAAACGGGGCCGAGGCGACCAGGTGGACAGAACGGCTGCCTCAAATTGAGTCTTTGGTTATGTGAATGGATTTCTCCAAAGGAATCTGTTCTTATATTCCTTGTGGAGGTCAAGGTACTCTGAGGGAGTGTTATTATGTTTTAACCATTCATAAGAGGCAGCCCTATACTTTTCAATTTACTAAGGTTGGGCCTAGCTAGAGTCCTGACTGTAAACAGGAGACATGGTGGAAGCAGAGCGCGACTTGTGTAGGCCATCCTTCATCCACCAAGTCCCTTCTTTGCGAACTACAGCTCGAATTGATAGACCAGTGGGCTGATAGGCAAAAGGTCACAGGGCGATTGTACTGGAACCTACTGGTAATACCTATAGTAGGCTCTGGAGGTTAGTGTTTGCGCACTGCTAAGCCGGCGGCAGTCACTACGTCCCGATATCAAACGTTAGCGAACCATGAGTGTTCCAGTGCTTGACGCGCCGTGATTCGCTTTGCAGGGTCCAGATTCATTAAACCCCGGATGAGATCCTTGAAGACTTCATCGCCAATATCCTGCCACTCTGAGAATGGCTTGTAGGGAATGTTATCCTCAAAGCGGTCTTCCCAGAGAATCCCGAGGATCTGACTATTCCTCTCGTCATCCCCGACAGTGTTGGCGGACGGGCCGTATACGACGCGCGAAGAGCGATATCCAACGCTGCCAGCCAAACGCGACCAACGTGAGGTCTCTCTTAAATCAGCTCATTAAGTGCAGACGCCATTTTGAGAGCATCCTTGCGAGTCATCCTGCAATGTTGTACTGTAGTTCTCAACGTCATAGCAGACCAACCAGCTACAAAGAAGGATGGCGAAAAAACAAACAGAAACCCGGGACAGAGAATGCAAGCAGGCGTTGGGGCAGTGAGATGGCACGAAAGAAAAAACAGTCCAACCACAGCAGGCGCACAAGATGGACAGCACAGCACTCGTGGCTGGATTATCACTAGCTAAGAGATGAAGTCGGAGTAGTGAGATTCGTCCATGAAGGTCTTTTCTCCTCAGATTTAGCTTCATTGAAGATCGTCTCCTCTCGGCT